CTTTAACAACTGCATCTCGGAAGAGGGTAATAGCGGCTGTGCATGCCGCCGGCACCTGAATATGTCTGCCAATTCCGCTATTTAATTTAATATTTCAATAATATTATTAAATAATTGCATTTATCAAAAATTATATATATATATGAATTTACTTACATACATACATCATACATATGTACGTACTTCAGTTGATAGCTTCTTCAAATAGAGTGTCTAAAATGTAAATAGACTGATTACTAATTGCTTATTCTCCAGCCTCACGGTTAAGTTAGTAACAATCTCTAACAAGGTCTGTTCCACGAAAATTTGGACTACTCAAGAGTGCAGTATTTCGCTGCATTTGACACGCTGTCAAAATTTTTTTTTAGTAAAAACCAAGTTTTTGCGCCAATAAAGACATTCGATTTAGAACGGTTGTGAAGAAATAAGCAAAGTATGACGAGGCATCGAAGAAGTCCGAATGAAATTCATCATTAAACATTTAAATAACAGGAATCTCCTTTATTCGGACTGTTTTGTGAGGCGTTTAAATCTCATTATCGTCGTGTGAAGTTAGAATAGCATAACATTTAAAGCTGCAGCCAATAGTGCCAAAACTACGTATCGTTTCATTTTACTAAGGATTCCTTTCCATACTATCAACTCTTCGTTTTCTCAGTTCTTCGGGCATCGCTTATACGTTCGGCATAATCTACTTGGCGTGAAAACAAACGGTTCGTGAAAAAATGTTTAAGGAATGTGCTTACTTATCGAAGCAGGAGGCTCTTTTAAGTAAAAATTTATATACATTTACTACTATATGTAAATGTAAAGGGTGATTTTTGAAGAGCTATAAGAAAGTTAAAAAAAAACGCATAAAGCTCAGAAAAATTCATAAAATCTTTATTTGAATCGATAGTACGGTCCATATAATTTCATATTTGAAGATTATTTCATGCGAATGTTGACCGAGACTGCGCCTCAAATGGTCCATCCGCTTAGTCCAATTTTGGCAGACTCTTTCCTCACGAATAAATGCTTCAATGTTGTCCTACAATGATCCAATTGAAACGGGCTTGTCTGTATAGACATTAGATTTCACATAGCCCCACAAAAAATTGTCTAAAGAATAAATGCAGCGAAATACTGCACTCTTGAGTAGTCCAAATTTTCGTGGAACAGACCTTGTTAGAGATTGTTACTAACTTAACCGTGAGGCTGGAGAATAAGCAATTAGTAATCAGTCTATTTACATTTTAGACACTCTATTTGAAGAAGCTATCAACTGAAGTACGTACATATGTATGATGTATGTATGTAAGTAAATTCATATATATATATAATTTTTGATAAATGCAATTATTTAATAATATTATTGAAATATTAAATTAAATAGCGGAATTGGCAGACATATTCAGGTGCCGGCGGCATGCACAGCCGCTATTACCCTCTTCCGAGATGCAGTTGTTAAAGCCCTTATATGAAGTATCTTCTGATAACCAACTCAAGATTAAAACAAATGTATAGTTATAAATCAAGGGAATATTTAAAGACATACGAACATTCTCATCTACATACTATGCACACTTTAAATTCAATCGAAGGCTAGTAAAACGCACCTTCGTACAGGAAAAATAAGTGCATGACTTTCTGTATTTGTTTATATTGTAGAAATATACGAGTTCTGTTTAAAAAATACAGGGAATTTTCATTTCATTAAGATTTTTATTTTTATTTTTTCCTCTGCGCATAAATTGGTTTTCCGTAATAATGATTGTAATTGCGAAGAGCTATCACGGATGGTTTAAAGTTTGAGAAGAGAGTCGGTGGAAGTGTTTTCTCAAGGAGCTCACCTATGGCACTCTGTTAGAGGCTTCCCGACCGCTGCAGTGTCTTTCAAGTGGAGATATCTGCTTTTATGGAGATAACAAAAGAAAATCGAAACCAGCTTTCAAGATAAGGATGCGAAAGTTAAGATCGCTTATGCTGAATTCCAATTCTGAACTGTCGCCGATCTCTATAAAGCATTAGTATGCCCTTCGCCATTTGTAAGCTGCGTTAGATACAGATGAGCAAGCCGCGCCAAGATGAAATGAGTCTACAACGCGATCAATATGAGATAATAATAGTCACGAGATATGTACTCTTTAAAAAGAGAGTGTCAGGTCTTTATTACTTTACACATCTGCTACAGGAGATGCTACAGAAACTGCAAAGATGATGATAAGGAGGAAACAATCTCCCAAAAGATCGAAGTCAAGGTCATAGATCTAATCAGGTTCATTATAGAATCCAAATGATTGGATAACGAAACCTAATTGTCAATTTTATGTGGCAACATAATTGGTCTTCATCAAGCCTAAGTGGAACCGATGCGATAGGTAGACAGCCACTACAGCCTAACCTAACATAACCGAAATAATAATCTGAATGGAAAAGACCTCTGTTGGCAACTTTAGATCAAGTCTTTAAGAAATGCTTTTAGAATTTCAAAAGTAGTTTATCGTTAGACAACACCGTAACAATTATGGCAAATCACGAAAAAATCAGTTTCAGTACACTTAGGGCCGTTTTCACGATCTCCGGTTAAGCACTTAATCGGAAGGTAGCAATTCGTTTTTATAATGTCCGGTTAAGGCGCATCTGTCAATTAATTTATTGCGGTTAACTTAACGCCAACATTGAGTGGCGAATACCTCTAAACCAGAATTTGACAGCTGGAAAGTGTAAAATAATAAATAAAATAGTATTCCGGTGTTGGCATTAAAATAAATTTTATTATGGCAAATGTGGAACGCACTGCCTATGTGGCTGGGTTGATTCAGGGAAAGAACGTGCCATACACTAAAAAATCTTTTACAGAAATTTGGTAAAACTGGTGCAAAAACGCATTTCGTAAAAAATAGAAAGTAAAATTAGAAGCCGTGCTGAAAGGCTTATGAAAATAATGTGCTTTGGGTAAACAAATATTGTTGGTAATTTATTTGATTTTGCAGGAATAAAGCAGCGGAAAGTGTTTTAATTTGTGTTCCGGTGTTGGGCGCACTCGTCCAATCATTCCTCAGAATACTGAAAAAAGCAGGGAAATTGAGAGCACAATGCGCACATTTCACCGAATAGAGAAGTTTCCAAATACGTTGGGGTGTTTAGATTGCACTCATGTCAGTATCCAATCACCTGAAGAAGAAAATGCCGAAAGTTATCGAAGCAGAAAAGGATACCTGTAGAATGAAAGTAATGGACTTTGTATGTAGGTGACCTGGTTCCGGACATGACAGCATTATTTTAAATAATAACAACCGGTTTGAGCAAAATGAATTTTAAAAACTTCTTTTAATCGGATGGTAGAGGTGATGGTTTGTCAGCAACGCCATGATGTGTCAACTTTTGCATCCCAATCTTCGCGATGAACGTCTTTACAATGAATATCAAATCCCTACTCGAAATTGCATATCGAAAAGCTATGGGCAACTATGAACATCATGGTTGCCTGTAGAGTGTTGCACAAATTTGATATCTGTATCAATCTAATTTGGATGAGATAGAAGTTAAAGTAAATGAACCAGCAGAAACATCCGTTGATGCCGACGAAAACATAGCTGAGGTGCTCGAAAACCATATAGTACATACATTTTATTTTTATTTAATTTAAAACCATCAAAGTCCTTTTAGCCGAATAAAAACATATGAAATAAATTTCATTAAATTAGAATTTTTTCCCATAACCACAAAATAAAAAAAGAAAGATCTTCTAGCAAATGGGAGGACCTACAGCTTATTTTAAGTCGCCTCCGAGCGGCTGATGATTTTTTGTGAGGAGCCTTTATTTCGAAGTGGTTGACATTCCCTGTCAAGGGCCAACGCAGTTTATATTACTTTTCTATAACTTTTGGTTGTTGGTCGAACCAGGACTCGAACATTGGCCTTCCGAATGACAGTACGCAATGCCAGAAACTCAGCTATTGCGGTTTATCTATTTCGAATGAATAAATAAATAAAAAAGTTTGATGCAAAACTTGATTCTTTGGCTCATTTTAATTTATTTTAGTACGAGGTAAATGTAAAGGGTGTTTCAATCAGAGGTGTTATTTTGTTATTCAAAGAGACGTGCTCCTCAAAAGATCGATGGTTTCATTGCTTGTGTGGCACATAGCGGTGTCTTGTTGAAAGTAAACGTTGTCCAGATCCATACCATCCAATTCCGGCAAAAAAGAAAATCATCACGATATCGCAATTCATTCACCTTAACTCTTGCTCCAGATTCACTTTCGAGTCCGCTTGACTATACCTCAAACAGTTACACGTTTAGGAGGAAGTGGCTTTTCAACAATAAATGTCGGGTTTTCCGAGTTCCAGATGCGACAGTATTGCTTTTTGACGTCGCCATCGAGGTGGAAATGGGCTTCATCAGTCAAGCTGCTTTTTTCGAGTAAATTCCGGATCACGACACGACGTTGTTGATGATCGGCCGGCTTAATTTTTTGTGTTAACTCAACTTTAGAAGCCTTAAGACTCAAGAATTTTACGGTGTAATGACTTTTGTGGAATTACCAATTCCAAAGAACAACGAGGTATGGACAAACCTGTGTTATCTTCAACACTTTGGGCTACAGCAGCAAATCCAGCTCCAAATTTTTTTCACCAAAGTCTGTATTGTGGTTTGACAATGTCATTCGCGGCGAGTGAATCGCTCCATTTTTATTGTTGGTGTTTTTACTTGTCAAATGTCAAAAAATTACGTCTACAAAAGTGACATCAATCGGAATAACAGGCTATTCAAACCAACGCTCCTTATTGGAAAACCCTTTACTAAAACAACAACAACAAAAATGTAATCGAATTTACATAACCCGAAATTTGAAAATTTTGCAGTTTTTTGAACAGGCCTCGTCAAATCAACAAACAACTGCATTTCAGCAGAAGCCAGAGCTAAACATCTCACAACGAAAAATTCGTATGCAGCGTGCTCTTTGGTCATTTAAACGAACGATGGTGTCTTATTGATAAATATCGATCACATCGATTCGGTATTTAAGTGAACACTGATAGCAGGGAGTTTTCAAATATCGTCTGTATTTCATATTAAGCTCAACACAATATGAAGGAATGGTTAAGAATTTCATGTCTACTGTGCATTTGTGGCTTCGCACGCGAAATTCGCCCTTCGGAACTATATTTAACGCAATATTTGCTGACCGATGGACGAAATCTCACAAATAATATGGTATCAAATTTGGAGCTATCTCGGAATATTACGCATACAAATATTTAAAAAAAAAATAAATTCTATTTTTAGCTGAATCGCGAAGTTTATCCTGTGTGTACCTACTCCTACCTGGCGACACTGGTGTTGATATTTTTAGTTACAGACTTTTTGAGGTAAGTTAAATTTCAAATTTTCCGACAGAGTGAGATTTTTTTCATTGCAAAAAACAAAAAAATAATAAGTTTACTTAGTGAAAAATATAAAATTTCGATATGGTGATTTCGTATAAGAAAGAATTTTTTTAATAAAAGAAATTTGTTTAAAAAAACCTATTTTGAATGTAATGAAATTTCTATGTAATTAAATTTTTAATTTGGTGCGTTAATATTTTCGTGAAATTAATAATAATATATTTAAATTTTAGCAAGTAATCCTAATAGATTTTTAAAGTAGATAACGAAGACTTTTATACCTTTCACAACCATATCAGTTTTATGGTATTTCATTTTAGGATTAAATATTAATTCGCTTATCTTAAAAATTGTTCGGAAGGGCCTATATGATGAAGCTTTCCGATTTCGAAGGTTTTTTTTTTTGTAAAATACCAAACTTCACGATTTTAGATGCTTTCTTTGACGGAGTTTGAACCAATATCTCGGTCTGTATACGAGATGTGTTCAAAAAGTATCGCGAATTTTGAATTTTCGCGGGCTACGTATAATCGAACTTCGATTTTTTGTGGGATTATGTTGGTACTCACGTCTGTCACTTATGCCGACAAGCTCGGCCATTTTGAATGTTCACTTAATTGTTGACAGCTGCTTTGCTTGCACGTGTTTTGGATGGCCTCCTATATTTACCTATTAAAAAAAAATGGATCTAAGAACCAGCATCAAATTTTGTGGGAAAAACGAAATTAACGAATGTTGACTGTGGCATACGGAGAAGCTATCTTGGACCGAAGCAACGTTTATCGGTGGTACAAAATGTTCTCAGAAGGCCGAGAAGATGTGAACGACGAAGAGCGTGCCGGACGCCCGAGCACTTCAACAACAGACTAAAAAATTAATGAAATAGAGAAAATGGTATTGCCACAGGGTAGAACGGTCAATAAGGAATATTACCTGCAAGTTATGCGCAACTTGCGCTAAGCAATCCACCAGAAACGCCCGGATTTGTGGAAGAACAAAAATTGGCTTTTGCACCACGATAACGCCCCTGCTTACACACCGTTGCTTGTGCGTGACTTTTTGGCCAAAAACAACACACTAATGATGCCGCAGCCACCGTATTCCCCAGATCTAGCCCCCTGTGACTTTTTCATGTTCCCTAAACTGAAGAGGCCCATAAAAGGACGACGTTACGCTACGATTGACGAGATAAAGACGGCATCGAAGGAGGAGCTGAACAAGATAAAAAAAGTGATTTTTTAAGTGCTTCGAAGATTGGAAAAACCGTTGGCACAAGTGTATAATATCTAATGGGGATTACTTTGAAGAGGACAAAATAGATATTCATGAATAAATACAAATTTTTTGAAAAAACACAAAATTCGCGATATTTTTTGAGCACATCTCGTATGCTATGGTACTCTGATATCGCCGATTTTGATCGAAATACCAGTTCATGTGTGTACCGAGTTTGGATGAAGTATCTCAAAAATTGAGGTACCTTATTTATATAGCTTGCGTTCAAACAGACGGATAAACAGATATGGCAAATTCATCTGAGCTCGTCATTCTGACTACACGTTCGTAATTACAAAATATTCTCCAAAGTGGTTTTGGGGAATGTGGCAGGAGTGTCAGTGTAAAGTATAAAGATCCGGGGAACTTTTTGATTGTAGTCACCACTTACGACAGAGATGCCTTACCGCGGGCAGAATCCGGCACGCCCATCCCATAGGTAATATTATTATTGTTATTATTGAGGCTTTGTAAACGCTCAACCAATTTTCGGCCGAGTTCCTCTTTCATTTTGTGGTTTTGCGTCTAGATGTTTTTCCAACAAATAGAGAAAGCTACAGATTTTTATCAGAAACTTTAATTTTCAAGTCAGAATTATATTATGAGGGCATGAAATTCCCCACAGAGAGGGGACCAACTTATATATTCTGGACCAAAGTTAATATACCATTTTATGTACCTGAAAGGTATCAATAATATACTAATGCATTAAGTTTGCATTCATGTTTCAAAACTGAATCACGCACAACTTTGAAACGCAGAGAGTGGTTTGCATGTACAAGTAAATCTGTAGCGTGAAATAAATCTTCAAGTGATATGGTATAAAGTTTAAATATAGAAAAGTTCAAGCTTTCTCAAAGCACCCTCATATTTCAAGCAAATTGAAGATTTTTTCGAGGATGTCCAATTATCAAATAGATAACAGTAAATACATATGTACTATTATCAGTAAAGTTCAATAACACTTTAAAACAAAAACAAAAAACAGCTGTCACTTCTACTATTCTATTTTTCTTGTTGTATAACAAATATTTAATTCATACAAACAACCAGGCCTCGTAGTTAATACTTATATTAAAAAATTACTATGCTATATAGTCGCAAAAACTAATTATATAGCCGCGCGACTAGTAAAGATGCATGTGAAGAATTACAATGAAAGGAGAAATGCGGAAAATCATTTAGTCATTAACAGAATTAGTAAAGTTTTTTTTTTTTTTAGTTGATCGTTATGACAGCTGTTGTATGATTTATACTCAATACTGGTTTGCCATTATATTATTAGCAGACCTACTCCCGAACAACATTTGCAAGTCGTGCAAAATAATGTTTCGGCTTGCGTGACGCACCTCGCGCTGCGTTAAATATTCGTGGCGTCGCTTCTTCAAATAGTCACTGTTCGGGCTGATCTATGAGCTTCAAAGATGGAGCCAACCAAAATGCTGCGGTCAATGTTGAACGCTATAGAGCCATGATTAATGACTTTTGGTTCCCACACGGCGGCGCTACATGCCATTCAGCCAACGAAACAATGTACTTATTGAAGGAAGCTTTTGGTGAATGCATTATCTCACGTCGTGGGTCTGTGGCATCGCCTCCAAGATCATACGATTTAACAGCGCTGGACTACTTTTTGTGGTGTAATTTGAAGTTGCTTGCTTAAAGAGATACAACCGAGTCGTTAGACGCCTTTGAAAGAATATTCGACGTGTTGTTGCTGACATACGGCCCCAATTGCTGCGAAAAGTGGTCGTAAATTGGTCCTCTCGGCTGCAATTTATTCTAGCCATTCGCGTCATTTACCCGAAGTCATTTTTAAAATATAATAGCAAAACCTTATCTTTATAATAAAGCTAAATTTAAACTATATGTATTTTAATTCTTCTTGAAACCACATGTCTAGAAACAAAAATCTTTTATTTATGCAACAATGAGTAAAGCAGTTTTCGGCCAAGCCGTGCTTCTCCGTTTAAAGTACCTTCTGACTCTCTAAGATTTTTAATAGGAACGATGAAAGGCTTATTGGTGGAAAATCCTTTGGCGTAATATAACTTTTCTTGCCTCTCTTTGGTATGCATATCACTCTCGCCTCGCCTTGATCCACACAGGCTGAGTAAATACTGCATAATACGGGGACAGGATAGCCATTGCTGCCTGAAGTCTAAAGTCCCTTGTGAATGGGTATTGGCTCAGATTTTTGGAAAAATTTTAATGTTGGTTGAAAGCATGTCACGAATTTAAAATATTTCCAATTCTCTTTGAACTACTTATCTCTTAAGGCTTATACCACTCCCGACATCTGCTTAGAGAAATTCATTTACCAAAAATCTTTTTGTTCACGCAGATGCTCATAAGAGAATATAGCTTTATATCTAACAGAGTTTCTTCATAAGTTCATGTACTACAAATATTGATGAATCATTGTGAATGTAAAGAGATACATATATATAAACATGAAATTTTAAAACTAAAACACTTATCGCATCTTGTCTCTATTCAACAGATATAAACCTTTGATTGTTGTAATGGGCGCTTGCGGCGTTACATTTTCAAGCATGTTAATCTGGACCACTTCACTGACGGCATTGCAAATACTTGAGTTTTTCTATGGCCTTTACTTGGCCTCTGAAGTGGCTTATCACACGTATATATACGCTAAAGTCGACAGAGCGTACTATCCCAAGGTCACTGCGCACGCACGCGCCGCCATGTTTCTGGGCAAGTTCGTCGCTGGCGGTTCCTCACAGATCCTTATTAATTTCGAAATTATGACATACAAGTCTCTCAACTATATAACGTGGAGTAGTAAGTATGCTAATGACTAGAATTCTGAAAATGCATTAACATTTCATAGTGATGAAAAGCGATGCTTTACTTCTAAAGTTTTAGAGATACAAGAAAATACTTGTGAAAACTTCGGTATTGAGAAAAGTGCTAGTGGATGTATTCACCAATTAATTTTGCATATATGTAGTTAAAGAAACTGTGCGCCTATATGTATACTACTACTCTCCCCGCGGGAATGTCACATGGCTGGCAAGCATAATGGCTCTTACATATTACTGAATTCTATCGTTATTTTATATTATACTTCACAACAAGTTATAATATATAAGGTTGTCAAATACCTCCCTTCCGCTTTTTTGCTCTTCATACAATGCTTTATAAAAAGTGTTACAGTGATCGGATTTAGTTAAAATATGCGCCGTTTTGTTCGATGATCTGTTTCCATCTAGATGGCAACTTCATAATACCTTTTTTGTAGAAGCCCCCCCTCCTTATTTGCGAAGAATTCGGACAGCCACTTTTCACAAGCCTCTTTTGAGTTCAACTTCACACCACCAAGGGCATTCGCCATGGACAGGAACAGGTGGTAATCACTTGGCGCTACGTCCGGGCTATATGGTGGATGCGATAAAACCTCCCATCCGTAGCTTCTGACGAGTCATCAACGAAGTGTGTGGTCTGGCGTTGTCCTGGTGGAACACTACACCCTTCCTGTTGGCCAAATCTGGACGCTTATGGTCGATCGCCTACTTCAAGCGGTCCAGTTGTTCGCAGTAGATGGTAGAATTAAGCGTCTGGCCATATGGAAGCAGCTCATAGTGGATGATTCCCTTCCAATCCCACCAAACACACAGCAAAACCTTCCTGGCCGTCAAACCCGGCTTGGCCACTGTTTGGGACGATTCACCGGCCTTCGACCACGACCGTTTTCGCTTGATATTGTCGTATGTGATTCATTTTTCGTCGCCAGTCACCATCCGCTTCAAGAATGGGTCGAGTTCGTTCCGTTTCAGCAGCATATCGCAGGCGTTGATTCGGTCCAGAAGGTTTTTTTGCGTCAAATTATGCGGCACCCAAACGTCAAACTTTTTTTGTATCCAGCCGTTTGCAGATGGTTCAAAATGGTTTTGTGACTAACTCCCATCTCCTGGGCGATGTCATGAGATGCCATATGCCGGTCTAACTCGATGTATTCCATGATTTGATCGGTATTTGTCGTCACAGGTCTTCCGCTGGCTGGCGTTCCCCCAAAACACCATTAATCTTACGGAACGTTTCTCTAGCGGATTTGCTTTTAACGAAGGAAAACTTTAAAATAGCGCGAATTTCGGCGTTAGTGAACTCCATGTTTACACGTCTATAACTGTTGAACGCAATATCCAAACTAATCATGCATAGCGTTGTTTTGTAGGTTATGTCAAGACCTTTCAAATTATGTATAGTTGCCAGATACGATCTCTGTAGCGCTTTCTAAAGACAAAAAAGCGGAAGGGAGATATTTGACAACCTTATATAAGCAACATTTATAACTGGTGGGTCTTAGTATCCAGTAATCTTCGATGCGGGCGAAAATCACTAGTTTCCGCATCCGCATCTCGCTCTATTAGTTGGATTATGATCAAGATAGGAAATGCCTTGATCCCTGTTAGAAAGAGTGCCTCAAATCGAAGTAACATAGGCGGAACAGCCTTCTTTTCGCTCCACTCTGCTGGTAAGCTTTAGCCAGAAAAGAACAAGTTACCGATTTAAGCTAGCGTGGCATCTTACCCCATTCGAATTAGTCATGAAAGGTACTAATTATCTATCTTGACGTCTTAACATTGCTTTAACGACTTGTTTTAAACTTATACATATATAAAGTGTAATTTTTTAGCTATTATCTTTTTGGCAACACTGGTTTAAACAGCTGACGCACGTTTCGTGTTTTGTATCTCTCTCAAACATCGTCAGTTTGGTCTATAATTTAACCATGGATCGTCTTACTTACGTTTTTTTTTTGCGCAAATGCAAGAGCTTGAGTTGCATGACATGTGATTTTAACAAGACGGTGCCACGTGCCACACAGCACGCATAACAATGGACTTGTTGAGAGGCGAGCTCGGTGAACATTTTACTTCACGTTCGGAGCCGGTTGAGCGCCTTTAGGCTATTCTTTGTTGGGCTATGTTAAATCTGCCATTCCGCATGGCTGATGGTTTTTTATGAGGAGCTTTTATATCATGCCAGAAATACACTCGAAGGGGTTGACATACCCTGCAGAGGGACGAGAGCAATTACAGATTTTTTTATTTAAATTAATTTTCTTCAATTTTTTGGATATTCGTACGTCAGGTATACAACTTTGCTTCCGCCGTTTTTTTCCAAAATTAAAAGCTTTATTGCGAAAAATCGTTGTAAATCTTTGAAGGTTTTTTCTCTCCCACCACTATGTTTGTCTTCGACATCGAAATCACCATTTTTAAAACGTTGAAACCACTGCCGACACGTTCTTTCACTCAGAGCAGCATCACCGTAAGTTTCTGAGAGCATTCGATGCGCTACAGCTGCCTTTTTTTTTCGAATTGTAACAGAAAAGTAAAACTTCCCGCAAATGGCGAGAATTAGGCACATAAACGGACATTTTCGAGCGTGAATAATAAGAAAACAAGAACAACTGTCACTGAAACGGCGATTACAATTCGTTAGGCACTGTCCACACTCACTTTAAAGGCATTATCATCTATGTATTTCAACCAGCCTCAGCCGGTACAGCCACCTATCGGAAAACGGCGGAAGCAAAGTTGTAGACCTGATATTTTAGAAGCTGACAAATCTTTTGCCAATTCTCCAGGGAAAGCAAGATATAATTTATTAAATAGTTTTCATCCAAACTCTTGGTGGTGTCTGATAAGTATCTGGTGCAACGAAACTTGTCCCGCATCCTCTTCATACTCTGGTTAACCGTCGTGTTCAAGTTTTTTGGGGTATTTTTGAAAAACACCTTATCCTGAAAGGAATTACTTCAGAAAGGAGTCGGTGTCGATATGTCCGTTCCTTAGTCTGCCCGTCCGTGTAGACAGTTTGTCTGACATAAATGTAAGTGTCATGATGGAACTTGTTACACTATTCCTTAAGCCATAAGTACGAACTCTATTACAAAACGGGTGACTTCAAATCAAGATCACATCCACCACCACATTTAATAATTATTTTACAGAATACAAAAATTAGGAAAATTATATATATGGTAATTGTTAGGTTGAGGGCCTGCTCCTGAACGGTTCATTCATGGAAGTGCTTCAAATACTACTTGTTTGCTTCTCCATCAGGTCATACGGGACCGAAGGCAAAGGTTTCCCAATATAAATCGACCCTTCGATTGACTTAACAACTCGTATTTAGGATATTATCCCAAAAAAATATATCTAGATTAGTGAATATAAATGTATAATGTATGTATATAAATGTTACTCTTGCATTTCCCCACTATTCACTAAAGTTTGCTCATACAAGATGGTGAACCTTTTCCTTTTATGTCAAGAATTAGCAGTGCTTTTTCTTTTGCTTGCACGCGACCAACAAAAAAACGATCAGCGAAATTTTTTTTAACTGATTTAAATTTTAGATTTACTTTACAATGCTGGTGTTAGCTGCCAAATATTATATAAAAAATTTAGTTTGTACAATATTTCAACCTGTAGCAAGACAAAATGAGTTATTCCGAAGAATCTTTGGGAAATAAATATTTTTAGTTAAAAAAATTATTATAAATATTATATGAACTATAAGCCACGGCGGTCGCAATAGCCGAGTAACTATCATTGCCATTCTTAAGGCCAGAGAAATTAATTTTTCTAATATTGGTCACCCCTCGACAGAGAATGTCAACCCTTATGAGTGTATTTATGGCCCGAAATAAAATCTCCTTATCCTTAAAACTATCAGTCATTTCGGCTGTGGCTTAGTATAGACTGTACGTCCTTCCATTTATTGGAAAACTTCACCACAATACCGCAAACTGAAGCAGAAGCTAGGCCGAAAATCGCTTCAGCGGTTATAAAGCGCCTATATAATTGGTGAGGCGACGATTTTGGTTTCTATTCCGTTTTGAAGTTTGACTGAAATGCAATTTGAGAATTTCCCTTACATTTTTTCGCTGTCCCATTCACAATAGTACCCCTGTTCAACTAAAAATCGCTTAAATAACTCAAGTTGCATATTTTGTGTTTTTGTTTTTCATCTTCAATGTTGTTTTGCTGATAGCGTGCAAAAGAGAAGGCGCATTAAGTTTAAATTTAAATGCATCAAAAGTATGAATGTTTCAGACCTACAAAATTTTGTTTAACATCGAATGTTGCTCGAGTTAGAGTCCTTGGTCGGAGAATAATAAGGGTGGTTCGAATATAAATACCCGACTTTCGCGAGAACTTTTGAATTTTAATTGCCTCGGAGCAAATGCAGAATACCGACTCTTTGCACCGCTAAAAATTAATTAAAAAAAATTATTTAATTCTCACGAATTTATAAGTATATAAAATTTGTGCAAATAAATATAATGGACGCCAGGGGGATTTCCGTAAAAGTAGTACCACTGAATAGGTAATTAAAATACCTTTAATTAAGTACCGATATTGGTATCCACATTTTCTGATAAAAAGAGAAAAGTTAAAAAAAAATTTTTTTTTAGAAAAAATTAAAAATAAAGTAATTAAATAGAGTGCAAAATTATCTCTAATTTGATGTACAATTCGTAAATATTTAGATTACCGTTCAAAAGTTATATATATTTTTCCCCCTTCACCTTGCACAGTATTTTTAAGTGAAACAAGTTTGTAAGTTGGCGGGCTTCGGCCGCGCTTTAGATTGTAACCCTCAGCCTTGCACAGTATCCTTAAGTTTGTAAGTTTGATTAGTTTATTTCTCGTACGCTTCTTCTTCGTTCTCTTAGTCTTGGTTCAATTTAAATAAAATATAATATTTACAAGCATTTCTTATAACAAGTTGTACATCAAATGAAAGGTAATTTTGTACTCTATTTAATTAATCTGATTTTAAATAGGGTTCATAAGACAATTTTTTAATCAAAAAATCCTTTTTTTTATAATATTCCTCCTTTTATTTAAAACTTTTAAGCATATATATATATATTGGGTGTATGCATTAATTCGTGCGGTTTTCTAAGAGAGGGCTCTACTGGTATTATTTCGCGTCGTGTTCATCTGTGGCTATATTCATTTCAAAGGTACTGTCATTTCGCGTCGTTTTCAGTAGATGTCACTTGTTTTATCGTTAACAACAATTTATTTCATTCATTTAAAAATGTCGAAATTTGTACCAGATAAAGTGTTTTTGCGGGAAGTTCTTCTTCATTACTTTAACTTGAAGAAAAGTGCTACCGAAAGCCATCGTATTTTACTGGACGTTTATGGTGACCATGCTTTAGCCAAACGTACGTGCCAAAAGTTGCTTGCACGGTTGAAAAGTGGCAATTTCGACTTAGACGGCGGACAGCTAAAAAAATTTCAGGACGAAAAGTTGGAGAAATTGCACGACGCAGATGCATGCCAGACGCAAGAAGAACTTGCAAAATTATTAGAAGTTGATCAAGCAACCGTTTCCAGGCGATTAAAATTATTAGGATTCATCCAGATGCTTGGAAATCGGGTGCCTTATGAATTAAAGCCAAGAGATGTCGCACGTCGATTCTGCATGTCGGAAATGTTGTCATTTTTCTGCACCAAAAGAAGTCATTTTTGCATCGAATTGTCACTGGCGATGAAAAATGGATTCATTAAGATAGCCCAAAGCGCAAGAGAACGTATGTGAAGCCCGGCCCAACCATCGACATCCACGGCAAAGCCGAATATCCATAGCTATGCTGGTATTTGGTGGGGCCACAAGGGTGTGCTCTATTATGAGCTATTGAAATCAGGTCAGACGATCAATGGGGACCTCTTCTGAAAACAATTGATTCCTTTGAAAAAGCCATCGCGGAAAAACGACCAGAATATGCGACCAGACACGAATCAATAATTTTTCATCATGCCAACGCTCGGCCACATGTTGCAAGGCCAGCTAAAAACTATTTGGAAAACTGTGGGTGGGAAGTTCTACCTCACCCGTCTTATATATAGCCCAGAATTGTACCTTCCGATTACCACTTGTTCAGATCAATCCAGAATGGCCTCACCGGAGTACGCTTCACTTCAGAACAGGGTATCAGAAAGTTCTTTTGTGATGGGATCCACAAACTGCCAGAAAGATTGGCAAACATCGTAGATTTTGATAGGCGATACTTTGAACACTAAATGAAAAAGAACCGCACGAACTAATGCGTACACCCAATACATATAAATATATATTCATATCAAATTAAAGGTATTTTAATTACCTGTCCTTTGGTGTCAGCAATAAAGAAATCGGTAATATAGCCATTTTAAAAATTTGGAATTCCCCCTGGCGCTCATAATATTCATTTGCACAAGAAATGTTATATACCCTTGACATCATTTAAATATTCCTAACAACCCGCGCTATTTTAAATTTTCCCTGGCCGAGGAGTAGGTACCCTGCACTTACACCAAAAACTTCCATGGTAGTGGAATGTATATTAAAGGTATTTCTGCAAATCGATTGACCGGCCCAAAGTATAAATCAGTTCTCATTAAGAGTTTTAGTTTTTAAATAAAAAAACACACTCTGAGGTTTTGACTTGCTCTAGAGAACTTAAAGAAATGCGTTAAAGTTTTACATTAATTTTAAAAATTTCAATCATTTTTATTTACATTGAAAAAAGAAATTAAAACAAAATAGTTTTATACATCATCATTAGTAATAGTTTCATACCTTTAAAATCATCAAGGTTTTACTTTTAATAATTATTGCACTCACAGCCCAAATCTTTACCACACTGTGGGCTTTGGCTTTACCAAGCGTCGATAAAAGTTTGTATTTCCATCGCAAGAACACCATACAGCCCACATCGGCGGTTGGATCATCAACTATGGAATTGCAAGAAGCAAAAACAGTCGACCAACGAGGCAGCGAGACTGTGGCTTCGAACGCTGCATTTAAATTGATCTGGTCACATTTCTACAACGCCTACAGTAATTTGAAAGTCGTACAATGGAGTATTTGGTATGCAGTGAGCTTATGTGGCTTTTTGCAAGTTATTATGTATATGCAAGTTTTATGGATTGAAATTGAACCGGATATTGGTATAGCTTGGAATGGTGCCGTTGATGCTGTATTGACTGCATTGGCGGCACTAATGGCATTGGCAGCTGGCTACATACATGCCGGCCGCTTGAAACCGCTTCAAAGTCTATTGGTGTTGTCCATATTTGCAGCATTAGAAGGTAGCGCTTTACTTATATGCTGCCGGACCACCAATATTTATGTCTCCTACGCAGCATATATATTTTTTGGAGCGTTTTACGCCTTCAGTATAACAGTTGCAAGGTATGTACTACATATACTCATGTATACCTACGAAAGTGTACATAAATCTATGTTTGAGTTGAGGGAAAAAAATTCCATTGAATTTTGGAACTTTCTTTTCCAAAAAAAAAAATAATTCAATTATCGTTTTCTTTGACACAGCGCTGAAGTGGCACGTCACCTGGAAGAAGAAAGTTTCGGATTAGTGTTTGGTGTAAACACATTTGTGGCGCTCGTAATTCAAACCTTGCTTACAATTACCGTCGTCTCGAATTCTGGTTTTAGTTTAGACACTAGAGGGCAATACACTGTATACGCCTTTTATTTTATTACAGTAAGCGGTATTTTCTTCATTGCAGTGGCTGTGGAATACATAATTAATAGATGCAATAAAAATCGTACAAATTTAGTAGCATAGTATTTTCTTATAATAAGTTACATATATAACACTCACACAAACAAATACAAAGTAATTCATCTACTACATTACTAGGTGTTTTATTTCGTACCCAACCCGAAAAAGAACGCCGGCTGCCTTATAACTGGCATTTATTGTACAACACTGGTGCTAGTTGCCAGAATACTCGTATGAAGGGCATTTAAGCTGCGAGCCGTTTAATGAAATTTTTTTTAATTTTCGGCACATACTGTGCGGTATCTCAGCCATAATTTGAGCAATGTTGGTTGTCAAGTGTTCAACTGTTAAAAGTTTATCCGCATAAACACGATCTTTTACGTAACCCAACAAAAAAAGGCTAGCGCCCGATCTCGGCAACCAATTGACATCGCCAATACGAGAGATCAGGCAATATATTTCTCTCACAATAAAGACACATTTGCTGGTTTTACGTTGTTCGTTTCGCTAACACAAAAAATTACCTCAACGAAATGAAATCGTTAACGGTATTTTAAACCTGTTATCTATGATTTAACAGCACGCTTCGATTTTAACGTTTAACATTTTCTGTTAACGATTTAACATTAACGACAGCTTCTCATTTCCGTTCAAAACTCAACTGCAGTTCGACATTCCTCTTCGAATCAACTCTTTTTCTAACATTAATGAAATCCAATAGTTTACTTAGCGGCGCTATGTTGGATTTGTTTGAGATGAATCCACAATTTCCTTATGTTGAGTTGCTGATGAATGCTCTCAAAAAGCAGCTGGGCAAGGCGAATATATGTAGAGCCTTTCCGCTGTCTTTTGTGATTGAAGCTTTCAGATGTCAAACTTTTATTATGTTTGCTGACGGTTGTTCTTTGCTGCACAGAGGCAGTTGATCCAAGCCGATCCTAGCTTTGGGAAACGTACGCACATCTAGTAAACTGGACACATGTCTTCCGTCAATCACTACATAACATTATGGAACTGATGACAGACATGCAGCTTGATGATTTTCTTGTGCCGTAATTCGGTACTACAGATACAGGTACTACAGATGTTTCGTCATTGAGGAAGAGTTTCCAGGCTGTTGTGTAAAAAATAGCTTACTTCCCTGCAAGAAGGCTTCCTATCAACAGGAATGCATGATGTCATATCCCGACAACTCGTAGAACGATTTTCACATTACTTTTTTTCCCTACATATCTTACAAATAATAATATAGCAATATATTCAGTTTCAAAAATCTGCAAAATATTGTAAGCTAACCCGCATAAACCGAAATCCTTAATAGTGTCATGCGATGGTGACGCAGCTCCTCAGTTCTACGAACGCCTCGCGGCTCCTTTAAAATATAAAGACATCTAAGTAAAATAAAAAAATAATCTTCGAATCATAATTTTGTTAATGTCTGAATGCAGTTGTACCTCACAAATTTTTGGAGAATATTTTTAAATCTGTTACTACAGCAAGATGAGAAGCGTCTATTCCAGTCAAAGTGCTCCATTATTATCTTTCCGTACGATATGAAGTGCTCTTAAATAAACAAATGTAAAATGCAATGAAAAATAAAGTACTTAATTAATCCAAAAAACATTATAACCATGGCTTGTACAGAATCCTCGTAAAGTATTTTTCACAAACGATAAAAAATGATGTTCTACTCGAAAATAAGAACATAATATAAAAAAAAGGATAATCCGTTCAATTGTATTAGAAGAGAAAGGTAAACAAAGAAATGTGCAAATATGTTAGTACTGCCCGAAATAATGTGAGTGTATTGGTGAACCCATCAGCTCGCTCTTACAGGGTTTCCTGATGTTGGAATCACCAAACCCAATTTTCACATGGGGGCGGAGGCAGCGCTTATTGGCGCTTATACAAAGGATCTGTGGTCACTTTGCCCTTGAAAAATTTTGCTTTGGTGCGGATTGTGGCGATACGTTGATCCATCGGGTTGGACTTAGTACTGAATTCTCCCTCTATAAATACAACAACAAATTTGCAATTCTTTAGTAGTCTCCCGTTCTATATCCTTACGAGGTCATCAAGACATTCCAAGTACATGCTCTTATTTTTTTGTATTTTACAACAAATCAGAATGCTGAATTTTTCTTAAAATCAAACACAACTCCTTCGCTTTGCGTGATCTGGTAATTATTACACGTTAGCGATCAGCTGTTACAAATTGACTTAATTTGACATTTCAACGAATCAGCTGTTTTCCGTCTTATCGAACCATCTGTATCTGCCTGCATGTATGTTTACATAAAACCAATTGGGATTACATTTGTTTTATTTTAATGTATATAATTGTGTAGAGTGAACGTTAAGGAACATGAATGATATTAAGCGTTTAAAGGATCAACAACGTGATAAACATCCTGGGTTCGACTCTTATCTTAATTGCATGACTAGAGCCTTATTTACTGGCCTTGCTTCATTTTGCTTAAGTAAGTTTTAAGACACCATTCTTGTGTACTTAAACTTTTTTTTCATCAATTAATTGCATAATTTTAAAAAATTTCTTTAACTACAGCATTTTCTGGCTGTTACTTTACTCAAAAGGTTATTCGCACAAAAATTGTCTATCCTCTCCAATACAGCGTTTTGGTATCTGCAATAGTGGCTACCGGCGTATCCTATAAAACTACAACAACCAGAACGAAAGCCTGTCAAGCTGCTTGGATGGCAGAGGAGGATGCGCATACTGTATTGAAAGAAGAAAATTACTAAATAAAAGCCAAAAGCTCATTACTTTTGTAAACAGATTTTTTTAAATATAATTTCCTGTTTGTCGTTATTTAAATTATTTAAAAATGTGCTCTAAAAATATAGCAAATGTCTTCATAAGAAGAGTTTTTAACACTTACAGAAATTCTAATGGCAATACATTTTTGTCTGGAAAAAGTTTATTCACGAATTTTCATCCATTAAACAGTAATTTTCCAATAAGATGCAAATATATACAACATAAGGGTGTTAAAGGTATACGGAGCAAAAAGAGTGCGTACGAGGCTATTTCTAAAGTAGACAATCAGTCAGATTCGAAATTTTACGGAGGTTTTGAAGACGGCAATTCCGATGAGTCACTCAATTTGAACGATAAGTAAGTGTTATACATGTACATACATTAATTATACACTCTCTTATAATCATATGTGTTTGAAATCTCAATTATAGCGCCTATGAAGAATTAGCTAGCAGTGCCATGCATATTTCCGCACCCTCTTCAACACAAAATGTCTTCGTTATACAACCATATGTTAAATGGGGCGGCGAGCGTAATACATTAAGTACCCCCGATGACCAATTGGAAGAGGCAAAAGCGCTTATCGGCTCCCTACCCAACTGGCGTGTTGGCTATGCAATCAAAGTACCGCTGGAAACACTCAACCGTAAAGCGCTTTTTGGCAGTGGCAAAATCGAAGAAATCAAACAACTGTTACAGGAACTCAATGCCCAAGACTCATTCTCCTGCCTATTTATCAGCAAAAGCACACTAACTTTCGTCCAAAAACGATACCTGGAAGATACATTCAAACTACCAATTTTGGATCGTTATTCGGTCGTCATTCAAATTTTACGTTTGCATGCCACTAGTGCGGAAGCGCGTCTTCAAGTGGCCATGGCTGAAATTCCCTACATATGGAGCCAAGCTAAAGATGCGAATCCGACGCTATCTCGTAAACAGGGCTACATGTTTACGGACACTCAACGAGAAATGCTTAAAACAAGAGAACGGAAGTTGAAGTTGCAATTGGATCGGATTAGGGATCACAGGTATTTCATATTAACTATATAAATAATGACTGCATGGTAAATAGTTATTTTCCATATAAAGGCGGCTGCTTCGTAACAAACGCAAACAAAAAAATTTCCCTGTGATTGCTGTAGTTGGTTATACAAACGCTGGAAAAACGTCACTAATTAAAGCACTTACTCAGGAGCAAAATATGCAACCACGTAATCAACTGTTTGCGACGCTAGATGTAACGGCACATGCAGGTATTTTGCCATGCAATCTTGAAGTTATATATATGGATACAGTTGGTTTCATGTCTGATCTACCGACTGGTTTAATTGAATGTTTTGTAGCGACGTTGGAAGATGCTATGTTGGCAGTAAGTGGACTGAGTTAAATTACATAAAGGTGAAAAATAATATAATTTCCATTTTCTCCATTAGGATATTATTTTACATGTCCAAGACGTGTCACATAGATGTAAACAAGCTCAACAACAACATGTGATGACGACCTTGGAAACACTCAAAAACACTATTTCCACAACTGAAAAAATGCCACCCGTGATAAACGTTGGTAATAAAGTCGATCTTATATCATCTCTAATGAGTCCACAGACACCCAGCGACACACATTATGTTTCATCAACGCAGCAGATAGGCCTTAAAGATTTGTTAATAGATATTGAAAAACAAATACTAGCTGTGACTGGTCGACGGAGAGTGACAATGCGTGTACGCAATGGGGGACCAGAAGTGGCATGGTTGTACAAAAATACAGCGGTAACAAATGTACGCGCAGATGAGATCAGTGCCGAATATTTACTAATGACTGTTGTTATTAGCGAACTAACTATGCAACAATTCAAACGGGAATTTCTCTCTGTAAATCAATAACAAAGACACAAAAAGTATAAGAATGAATAAAAGTGATTGTATAAAATAAATAGAAATACATATATTCTAATAAGTGAATACGTTAATACAACCATGAATATGTAACCTACACATAAGTTGCACATATACGTTTTATGTGTGAATAAAAATAAAAAGTAATTTTTAAAATTCAAGTCAGTATTAAGTTTATTCCTTAAGAAAGGTCAGTAAGTGACTGGTTAGTCAGCAAAAAATTGAGAGTAAGATGTCTTCGCCTTGGTAAAAATTACACAAAGTTTTATAGTAACTGTTTGTTTTGGCAGTTACACTAAATTCGTTCATTTATATATATAATTGGCACTTTGTAACCACTGAAGCGATTTATGAAGAGACTTTATTTCATGTCCGAAATACATTCGGAGTGGTGGATATTCCCTGCCGACGGACGACCGCAATTAGAAAATTTAACTTAATTTTTCATAATTTTTGGATGTTGCTGCCACCGGGATATGAACCCGGGCTACCGCGGCCGCTTATTGTATTTTAATAAAAAAAAACAGTTTTATAACAACATTTTTTAATTTATTAATTGTAATCAATAATAATTGTAATTGAACAATGTTGCAACTCTGCATGTTTAATGACCATCAAATTACAAAGATATCAGTGAATATTTTCTTTCTGATTGCCCTCTGTAAATACGAAGATTTATGTTATTCAATTACTTCAATGTCTATAACAATACAATGCATAAATTAATTTAAATGTAACTGTCAAAACAAACAAACAACTGTTATAAAACTTTGTTGATTTTTACTAAATCCTGTTGGCGCAAAACACACTAATTGTTTGATTACAAATTAAGTAAATTGAAAGAAATAAAATATTTTCCACTAATTGTTTACAAATTTATAAAAAAAAAATACGGAGTTGCAGCTCGACATTCACTAGGAAGTGATGCCAGAAGCACTAGTTGAAATCACTAAAAAATAAAGAGCTAACGAAGAATATAGGAACTTTCAGCTTCGAGAAAAAAATTTCCAAACTCAATGGCAAGCATATATACATATGTGTGTAGTGGCAAAGCTCATAATATGCCTTTGAAATTCCACTTTCGATTTTCGAGCGAAGTTCGAAAATGTTATTTTATAGTTCGGAGGAGTGTTGCGGGCAAATTATAATACTAAAAATAAAATAAAATGAAAATAAATACAAAATAGACATATCCACATCACGGCTAGACATGACGTATTATATAATATCCCATCTGTATAACGAAAATGCAGACAATTTGACTGCTCGGGAAAGATATAAATGTTCTTGGTCTAAATTTGTATCTTTCGATTTTTTATAATGATGCAAAATTTTAAATTCGATCTGATTCTATAAAATGTTACAAAAGTTTTAATTTTTTTTTTGTTTTGTTTATTTGTTTGCCATCACAGTTTTACGTGATCGCATAATTAAATGCATCAACTTAACATAACACTGAAATAAATATATGTATTTATAAGTAAAAAATTAAACTATTAATTATGTTTATATAATAAGTTAATAACTAGTAAATCAAAGCTTTCCGACAACCATAGCTTAAGTTTAGTTTGAATATAAATTTAACATTTGGGACGATATTCATATATAAAATAGCTGTTTGAGCAAAAGTATTCAATTTGTATATTTTATTATATTATATATGCATGTGTGCGAATGTATTTATTTATATAATATTTATGCATAACAGCGATCAAATATTCGTACATAATAACGTATATGCGTATGGCACAAAAAGGCTTAAATCGTAAAATACTTAAAGGGAAAATCTATTACCTAATAGGGAGTGTTGGAACGTGGCACTAAACGGCTTATTTTACAAAATACTGCCAAACACAATCTACGGATTACAAACTGTTTAACATATATGTGGTATTGTGCTTAGGGACTCTCAGTCCCACTAATTGCAGAGAAGTGAATTAATTTTACAGTTGTAAACCTAACTGTCATGCTAATGAATACGGCTTCTTTTCAGTGGCCCATTGACTATGATATCATAACTCAAATTATACATTGTAATGTTATTTTTTGTTTGTTTATAAATTAAACTAATTGAACATACCGATAATTAAACGCAGTATGGGTAAAACAAAAACTAACATTAGAAATACAAGCGCCACGTGACAATTTCTGGCCTGTGCCACAAGTGTACTTCTACTACGTTGTTTTAATAGTTATAACTTAGATGGCGTAGAGATCATATGAGCACTTGCTACCTTATAGTATTGTTTGAAGGGCAGTAACTGACAATAGCGTAACAGTTCTGCTTCCAATGTGCGTAATGGTTTGTCATGAACATGCTGCAACATTCCGCTTTCTTTGTCCTTTTTGATACAACCAGCTTGCTGAAAGGAGTATAAAGCAATATTCAAGTTATCTAAAGCCAGACAATATGGATGCACATTGGCAACATTTGGCAGTTGCATAAGTTTTTCTATGCGCTGCTGCATATGGATAAGAACATCCTTTGTGCTGAATTCATCACATTCGTTAGATCGACTAGACGAGGTACTGCAACTTACAGTGGGAAACTGTTTTAAAAGAAAATAAATGATAAGTTTTTTTATTAATACATGTATGAATATTTGTTTATTAATTTACCTCATTGACTGTTACAGCTAATTGGTAATAGAGGCAGAGAAATGGCGCCAGTGACGAAAGAATTACGTTACTAGCCACATTTTCATGGAACGTAATTCGGCCGTTATTTTGTGCGATTGTTAGTACACCATGCTTTGAAAGTAGTGCCAGATTTCTATTGAATTCCTGTAATAATCAATCAGAGATTAAAAATAACTTTTAACAGAACAAACAAAGTAAAATAATCAAATCAGTTTCGTTTCCCGTGCTTAACTGAAGTCGCAAGTACTGAACAATTACGTTGTATTTTAAATTTCAATTATTTCATTGATATCATTTACATACATATGTACATATATACACTTTTTGTATGAAAAACCAAAAGCACTATATGTTCTATAGAATATTTAAGTGCATGTTGTAGTTGTAGTTTTTGGGGTATGTTGTGGAAGTTACAGTACTTTTCCGGTTATGAGTCCGTGTCGTTCCCGTATAAAGACGCGGCTGTCGCAGGGACTTTTGGATTTTATGCACCACTTACGACTCATAAATGCATATAAGAACAAGTTCTGGTGGAACCGTACTTAAGATAGATAATTAGCTTATATACGTGTATATATAACAAGCGCTTTGTAACCGCCGAAGTAATTTTCGGCCGAGCTCCTCCTTCAATTTGAGGTTTCGTGACTTGATGTTTTTCCAACGAAATGGAGAGACCTACAGTTTATACTAAGCCGTCTCCGAACGGCTGATGGTTTCCTTATGAGGGGGTTCTACTTCATATCATAAATACACTCGGAGGGGATGACATTCCGTGCCGAGGGGCGACAGCATTTAGAAAATGTAGCTTAATTTTTTTTAAATTAATTTGCTATAACTGTTGGATGTTGGTTGTACTAGAATTTAAGCCCGGACCTTCCGAAAGGTAGTACGCAATGCTAACCACTCGGCTGCTGCGGGCCGCATGTATATATATATATATATATATTTATACTTATATGGGACGTAGGAATTCTCCAGGATCATTTTTTGTTCTGTTGAGTAATGCCTTTAATATTCGATCTAATGAATAAAACTCCATATTTGTTATCAAATGGAATGTAACGCGGACGCATAATCTTGCTTCTTCAGTAAAGCAGCTAATGTATGTATGCAAATGTACTTGCAGCACTTCTTGCTCTTCATGCGTTGACTAGCGCTCACTAAAACTGACATAATTAAGGTCTGGATATTGTAGTCGACTAAATTCCTAGCCATCTAAACTTGACCCCGACATACCCAACGAATTTTCTGCATGCAATGAGTCCCCGCACAACATTAACCACCTCTTGGTATGACCTTTAAACCAACTCTTCTAACCTTCCCCTATGGAAGTATAACTGCAACAAATATCGTTATGTTTTCTAGAATTTGAAGTTCTTCACTTCTCTATTTTGTCAGATTTCCAACAGACTCAGACTCAATATTTAAAAGTAAACTTAATCAATGACATTATTTAGCTGTTCTCACCTCCATATCACGATTCGACTCAATTATAAATTCGTGTTTAAAAATGTTATCTAGTTTAGATACACGTTGGAACAAACTGTCAACCACCTCGGAGTAAGTACCAAACGATTCTGGGATCTTAACACCTCTTTGAGTTTGTTGTTCTTCTCGCAACTGCAGTGCTGCTATTATAAGATATGCGGGTCGAGCTAGCCAAAACATACATGGATTTATGTATAGCTGTAATGCCAATGCAGGCACAGCCACCGCCATGGCCTGTGGTAGTAGCACGTGTGCCTTCAGTCTTTTACTATCGATTTCCTGTGCTAATTGTGCTGCAGCGACCTGTGTAAATTGCAGTCGGCCGTTTTCAAAGTGAACAATATTCGAATGTATCTCTACAGTTTCCATTATATCCACTTTGAGACAATTTAGGTCGGTGGCAACGTGCGCGCCAAGTTCTTCGAACAACTTCTTAAGTTCTGCAATACCATTAGCTAATTCGTCAATGTTAACCCAATGTTCCAAATATATTCGGCTAGCATAGTACAGACACAATAAATTGAACGTACTGATAACGATACCGCGCTGCTGTTGATAAATAATCTGCATAGAAGAGAGATATGAGAGACTTTTATTTGTATATATGTTTTGCATGTGAATAATAAATCTACTAACTTCGTTTCCTAACTTTTTAATCAAATCCAACTCGCACTTATTCAACTTTTGCAAATGCGCACCCATGCTAGCACGCGGCATTCGATCAGCTCCAGTGTGCCCAAAGAATTCTCGCACAGATATTGGTGCTCCGAAATCCAAATACATTTTCCCAAATCGTTCATCGATAATTTTAAGCGCCTTGAAAAATCCTTTGGTTGTCTCTTTCGGTTTTGGCACGCCCAACAATTCATACACAAACAATTGTTCTTCCAACAAACGTTCGTATGTTATGCTTACTGGTACAATTGTGACATCTGACACCTCGCCAGTGAAGTAGGGTAGCAATGCCATTGATAGTAAACCAATCTTTGGCACGAGTGCCTTGAAGTTTCGGCTGCGCGTTCCCTCGATAAAGAATTCCACGCCGATGTGATAGGCCGAGATTAATGCATACATATATTCACGAAAGATATCCCAATAGAGCTCATCATTGGAGAACGAACGACGCATAAAGAATGCACCCGTTTTTCGCAACATTGTACCCATGCCGAACATACCATGAAAGTCTGAGAAGGGGGTAAGTAAAAAGAGATTAAATTCAGTATATATTTACATAACATTTTATAACCGCCAATGGCAAGAAGCATTAAAATATTCTCACCCATGCCAGCCGCTATACCCGGTATCTCGATATCATAATAAAAGCAAATATATGACATTAATACAAAATCCATGTAACTCCGATGACTGGGCAAGTAACAAACCGGATTTCGTCCCAACTGCTCTCGCACTCTTCGAATATTGGCAGAGTTTACATATATACCCGATAGGATCCGTTTGGCAATTGCTGTTATAGCCATACCACACCATCGTATTATAGCTAAGTTACGCTCCAAACCAATTTCATCAATTATCTCTTTTACTTGCTTTTCGATCTGCTTCACTGAGCTGTTATTAACTTGTGCGTAATGCTCAATTATTTTGCGTACTTTCTCACTGCGAAATACGTGGCGCTTCAAAGTTTGTGGATTCAAATATCGCTCAAATTCATTAGCTACTTGCGGTTTGTACTCTTTGGTCATAACCGGTTCTTTGCCGCTAGCGATGATATTTTCAAATTCTTTCATGTAAAGCGATGCCGCACCAAGGGGCAAAGCATCTGGCGGGGATGTCCCCGTCTTCATAATGCTAATTTATTTTCACCCTGAAGTAATTGGTAATCAATGTAATTTCTGTAAAGGAGAAATAACAAAGGTTATTCCGCATATTTGCGTATATCAATCAATTTTCTAAAATATATAAACTGTTTATATTTTTTAAAATTTTTTGCTATACATCGGGGCCCACCCTATGAGAGCAGCCAACGCTACGTAGCTATTTTTTTGCCTAGGCGTGAGCATCTTGTGCCGACTTTAGTCTTGTCAAAATGATCGAGCAGAATCTTAAAATTTTGTATCGAATACTCCTATAATTTCTGCGAGTTGTTTCTTCTTTAGTCGAGTATCGTCGATGATCAGTTTTTCAACTTTTTGGTGTGGTCGCATTTAGAAAAATTAAAATTCTATAATTTCGCTAATTGGTCGGACCTGGTCTTCTACATGGTAGTACGCACTGCTATTACGACCGCAACACATATCCAAGTTAAGTGTAAAAGGCTCGAACTGTTAGGAGATTGGGCAGATGTTTTGAGCTGCTACGAATCCAACATCATTCTGGGCTTTCTTGCAGAACTCGAATTAGTTTAGACATACTAATAAAAAAATGGGGTCTCCTACAAAAAGTTGTCAGCTTCTAATTAATTATTATAATATCCTTCGTGTCAGAATCGTGGGTAATGTTATTTATGGGACACAACGCACACTGGCCAGGTACTCGTTCATATAGTAGGTAGCAACGTAACAATGGCTGAAGTCACTCGTTGCGAAACTAACAGCGAGGAAGAAAGTTGGCATCGGCAGAGCTTGAGGAAAGATTAGAGTATTACTTCTATAGGTTTTACCAATAAGAGGTATTATTGTGATATTCAAAGAAACTTTGCCCTTAAAAAATCGATTGCTTCGTTGCTTTTGCGGCACGTAATGCTGTCTGTTTAAAAGTAAACGCTGTCCAGATCAATAGCATCTCTCCGGCCATAAACAATTATTAACTATCTCTCGATATCGCAATTCATTCATTTTCGAAAAAGTATTGTCCAAAAAGTATGGACAATAAACCGCTCCAAATAGTTAAACGTTGAGGATGGAGAGGTTTTCAACAATAAAACTTGGGTTTTCCGAGCCCACATGCGACAGTTTTGCTTGCTGACGTAGTCATCGCAGTGGAAATACGCCGCATCTTAGTCAAGAGGGCTTTTCTATGAAATTTTCGTAATGAATTTTAATCATTTCAATGCGTTGTTGAAGTGTTTATCCTTCCATTTTTTTAGTGTTATCTAAGAAAATAGCAGGCTATTCAAAATAACACCTCTTATTGAAAGACCCTTTACTATTGCCAAGCCTTGGGCCAACAAGGAGCCCGATGCCTTTATTAACTTTAATGAAATTTTTCCAAAAAAATGGAAGGGTTTCTTGGATTTATTTGAAAGCAAAACAAATTAACTGAAGATGTTTGCTCGTTTTTGTCTCCTAAGTTTTATCCGTTTTCCATCACTCGATCAGTAAAAACGCAACTTAAGTATTTAGCCAAAAATATAGTCTAACACAAAGACGAAGTTGGAATGGCTCCTTTTTAGAGATAAATCTAAAAACATTTCTGTTTCTATTAGGCAACATTAGAAGATGATAAAAATATAGATTATTCGTATATTTGATTTTGAAATATTTATGGAGTTTGAGGAAATTACAGGAGTAGGCAAGGAACCGATGTAATCGAAAAAATCGTATTTATAGATCGATTCTCTAATGGAGCACTTCATCACTCAAACGACCGCATCGCGAACTTTCAATCCGTTTGAGGTAATTTTCGATCACTTTTTGGCACACATTGGGCGATATCTCAGCCATTATTTGACGGCTGTTGCATAAACACGGTCCTTCACGTAAGCCCTCAAAAAACCAACGGTATTAAATCGCACGATCTCGGTGGCCAATCGAAATCGCTAAGACGAGAATTAACGCTGCCTGTATTGTTGTTTGGCATAAGGCACCATTTTGTTGAAGTTGTTGAAGTCGTGTTCGCCAATTGCAGGCCAAAAACTGTCGGTTGTCATACGACCATAGCACTCCGAATTGACAGTTTGACAGTGACAGTCTCGCCATTGCCGTTTTCAAACAAGTAAGGTCCAATCACATCGAACAGTAAGTTTTTTTAGGATTATCGGAGCCTCAAATCGAAAATTATGCTTATTTACGTATTTCACGAGTGAGAAAACTGTTCGAAAAATCGCAGTCCACTACTTATTTATCAAGTACCCGATCGACATCGTGTATGTGAATGGTCAGTTGGCTTCAGTCGTTGTTGAACTAGACTTTCTATAGACAAAGGAGTAAGTCAAAGCGCAAAATCCGCTATAATCTGTGCGGTAACGAAGTCCCAGCTCTTGAGAACGTCGAGAAAGAGGCATATTCGGATCTTCGTCTACTCGATTATGTGCGTCATAATCTGCTATTGAGCAATTTGGAAATTTAAGTTCAGAAAACCTACAGCTTACCAATGAACGTAGTAAAACCAACGCTCCTTCAAAAAAAATAGCCGCAGTTCGGCTAAGGGAGTCAAATCAATGGATCACTCGAAAATATTGGATAGATACATTTTTATACCAAGATATATAGATCAATGTGGTGGTGGTGAATTAAATTCACTGAAAACATCTTCGAGAATTCCCAGCAGGGAAGAATGGAAGGATAATTACCAAGCTCCAGTTGGCAGTCTGGAAATATATCCACATAGCGTTGGTATAATCAGGCCGAGATATCTACTATCATTGTGGCAGCAAAGCAAATCGAAGCCAGCTTCAGCGACAGTCAGACAGGAATTGAAGCACGGGGCTCGTTTACCCAAAATCGTGCTGGACTGCTGCCTATCTCTACAGGCGATGACCAAACAGAGTAGGTCATCTCATAGAAACATCTAGGGAACCTGTAAACAGATAGAATTGCTAGGCAAGCATATACTTCTTGATAAAGAACATTTTGCTATGTCTTTTACCACTCGCAGGCTACTTCTCAATGATTTTACATATGTGAACAGGCCGTGTCAAGGAACGAAAGTAGAACATGCCGCAAATTTAGGCAAACCTGACCCAAAAGGGATTAGAAAAGAACATGAGATATAAACTCCTTAAAAAGAGGAGACGTGTCTAAAATATCAGCATTCCTGACTGGCCAGTGTCTGATAGGACGACATTTAGAGAGACTAAGGTCTCCTTATAAGAATTGCTGCAGAAGCTGTGATGTTGATAAGGGGGGAAGAACACCAGCAGTGCTAAGTTTCGAAATTTCAGACCCTTACTGGTTATAGCCAAAATTAATGTCATGGATGTGGTGAGCTTCATTAGAGAATAGAAATGGGTTGATAACGATACCTTATGGTCAAGTTTATGTGGCATTACAATGGGGGTTTTTTCAAGCTTATGTGTAGTTCGTCTGATATATCGGTAGCCAGAAGCAGCAGTAAAACTAGATATAGACACACACAAAAAATGTTGATATGAATTGATTATTGCACACTCAATAATATTTTTATTTTTATTACTCAGTGATTACTCGCATCAACAAGTTTTTTCTATTGAATTCAACAAAAAATTTATAATACATAATTTGCAAACCCTATATGTATGTATATACATATATACATATATATAATATCACGAATTGGGTAGCAACTCGCTTCAGTAGTTATAAATACTAATTAATTATTTTCGATCTGCCATTCGGAAGGCTCGGTTTCAAATCCTGGTGTAGTACTAACATAAGACAAGTTATAGAAAACTAATTTGAATTAAAAAATTAAGCTAAATTTTCTAATTTCCAACAAATGGAGGGACCTACAGTTTATACTAAGCCACCTTAGTATAGTTAGTTTATGAGGAACTTGGAATTATTACGGAAGGTTTGACACACCTTGCTGAGCTGTGGCCATAAATAGTCAGTCTAGCAACTCTAGTAAAGTCGTTTCTAGTGACAGATCTTGGTTCCATATGTAAGATCCAGAAACCAAACAGCAGTCCATTGTATGGAGCCCAACAGGAGCAAGACCCACCCGTAAAATCTAATCAACAAAAATCAAAAATCAATGTCAAATGATATACCGAAGAGTGCTTAGCAAAAGTTTTCAAAAATTTGTTGGAAAACAGGCAGAAAGAAGATTTGCGGCGCTACTCTTTACATCAAGACAACGCGACATCCCACACACGAGTAATTTTAATGCGATATCTGGGATCGAAGAAGTACGTCCATCACCATATTCCCCGGATTCTGATTTCGGGTTATTTCCAGAAATAAAGAGAGAGGAGATAAATAATGCGGTTAATGCTGAACTTGATTAGCTTGAAAAGCAAGATTTTGAAGACAGTTTTCAGAAGTGGATCTATAAGCCTAGAAATGCATTGAAATCAATGGCGACTATATAGAGAAGATAAAAGAGCACAAGCCAGCATTAACACCAATAATAACGTCAGCCTAGAAATCCAGCGCAGAACAACTCTTGCCAGCAGGTGCTACTCTGGACTGAGTAGGCAATTGAAAAGTAAAGTTCTCTCCTGACGAATGGAAGCTAAATTCTACAAGACCCTCATCGTTCCCGTCATGCTATATGGTGCGGAAGCACTTACGATGACAACATGTGATGAGTCTGCGTTAGGAGTTTTCGAGAGAAAGGTTTAGCGTAAGATTTATGGTCCTTTGTGCATCGGCAACGGCGAATACCACAGACGATGGAACGATGAGCTGTACGAGTTATACGGCGACATTGATATATTTCAGCGAATCAAGAAGCAGCGGATACACTAGCTAGGTCATGTGATCCATATGGATGCCAATACTCCAGCTTTGAAAGCTTTCGATGCAGTACCCGCCGCAGGAAGCAGAGGAAGAGGAAGGCCAGGTAGCGAAGGACCTGGCTGTACTTGATATTTCCAATTGGCGCCAAACAGCAAAAAGAAGAAACGAATGGCGCAATGTTGTAAATCGGCTTTAATCGCGTAAGCGGTGTCTACGCCAGTAAAGTAGGTAAGTAAGCAAATCTATGGACAAATAGCTGCGTACTAAGTAGAACTGATTACAATATAGTATCTGCTTAATGTTAAGCAATTTATTACCATTATTCAAATAAGACTTTGCGTTCTGTGCTAAGTTGTGTGTTTAAGCTCTTTTCAGTTGTGCACACGAAATAAAATAAATAAATGCCTACCTTTTCGAAGTGAAATTCTTCTTTTTAGAAGTATGTAAATAGATTTTTAATTTTAATTCTCGTTATTTAAACAATTTAATATCTTTACATATCTTATTTAAATCCACACATAAATTTATATACATGTATTTGTATAAACAAATTGCATTAAAAAATGTCACTAAAAAAATTTCTTTAATGCCGAACGACTAAGGCTTTCAAGCGCACTATAGTCTGTGATGCGTGGATTATGTATTGAAGTTAAATAGTTCCCACATACATAAGTTTGTAAATAGATTTGTGTACATTGAATTTGCTAATTAAAAATTCAAATGAAATAATTATTCGCACATTAATTACCAAATACTTTTCTTATTTCGAGAGTTCAATAAGATCATGCATACATACATATATATTATCTTATTATTTTACTCACAGTTTGTGATAGGGCGGTTCAAATTTTCAAATAATATTATTTAGACAAGTATCGTCGTGGTGACAAATAGAAAGTTTAACTGTAAAATAGATTTCAATCCACGTAAGCAAGCGACCATAAATCATCTAACTCGCACCATACGAGGGAGGTGGCATGATAAGATTAAATGCTATGCTGATCCACTTTACGGAAGAAGCAGTCGAGAGCAAAGCAACATAGTTTTCGTCAGATGAAAATTTTGTTAAAAAAATAAAATAATTTTGTTTCTAAACAGAAGTTAATTTTCCATTTTTATTAATATTTGTACTAGCAGACCCCACCACACACCTTGCTGTGGCTTTCCTTGTCGATTTTTTATTCTAATTGCTATTGCTAAGCACGATAAAGAGATCTATAATTAAGCTTCATTTAAGTCGAAGAAAGTATTATTTATTATATATTTTGAGCAAATGATTCTAGGACTCTGACTCGTTTCCATTCAGGCATATCGTCCAAAAAATAAACTCAAATAAACGAACCAGACATGAATAATTAAAAATAAAGAAAAAATCTACTTCCTGTAAAAAAAATCAAGAAAAAAGATTTTTTCGATTAAGTCAGTCTTGGACCACTTCCCGGAGACAAGAGTAGTCTTCCCGTTAATCATAGCAAAAGCTACCAGTTAACCGAGTTTCAAGTGAATCGAACCATGAGTAAGATTTTATCAAATACAATAGATCAGTCTCTGGCCCACTTGTCAAACCTTTTTTTTTCATAAAGCTTCCAAAAAATCATAGAAATAATTTTTCAAATATGTATAGTATGTAGATTGTTTGATGAATTATAAACTCTTCATTTGAAAGTGTAAACCTACTTTTATTAACCCTTAAATAAAATAATACATTAAAAAAAAGGGTTTTGTGATTGCATTAAATTTTTTTAAAATAAATATGTAGTAGAAAGCGCAAAGTATTGGGAACCAAAACCACGTCCCAGCAATCAGAGAATCAGAGAAAGAATACACGTAGGACTAAAATATGACAAAGTGGTCTATGGACGCTCAGTAACGAATTTAGTTTTATTTCAAGCAGACTACCATAATTAATGTTTTGCACATGGCAATGCAATTTATTAGAAAAGGTCATTCTTCGACATAAAAGTAACTTAACAGCTTACAAGACATACGATTTAGTAGAATATATGACTGAATCATGTCTTTCTCTAAACGTTACGTTTATGTGTAAGTAAATGTATACAAATTTAAGTAACTGTTTATAAAAATGCCACTTGGAAAAGTCAATAGTACTGTTCGGTGATCTGCTAGGCAGTAGCAATTGTTACCAATTACCCAATAAAATTTGTACCGATAGAACGCAATTTTCATATTTCGTTACTGGTTAATTTTTACTGAAATTTCTCACCGAATAGAGCCAATATATGTTCATGTGTATGTGTTGCTCCTTATTACGTTACAGACCACGTTACGCTTAACAAAGCAAATTTCTTATGAAATAAACGTGTTGAGATAGGCATATTATCTTTCTGCATTAGATAAATAAATGATGAGTTTTTAACAAAGGCTCAGACCATGTGCCGCGTGTGTTCACACCATCATTTCTTTTAAAAAAGGTTACAAAATGATCTGCGAAGGTATACGGGAAACTGCATCAAAGCACGACGTAAGGCTACAGAATGATATAAACGCTAGGACACGAAAACTACGCGAATCAAAAGGCAGTACACCTAACTTAAGCGAACAAAATACCACTACTTTCTAACAAAATAACAAAAATCATAGTATTTATTATTACTTAAAGTCTTGTAGTTTTCTTGCATATTTTTTTTTACCAGTTATAATTTAATTAAATGTAAAACTATAATTTATTTATTATATTTCAAAAAAAAGTTCTTGCTCGAAAAAAGAAATGTATTACCAATTTTTCCTATTGGGATGTTCACATGTGAATGGAAAAATTTTATTAAATTTAGTTAATTTAAACTTAAAATATGTATGAATGTATGAGTGTAAATATGTATGAATAAGTATGGGTATTCAATAATGTTTTTAAACTAAAATCGCATATTGTTTAACTAAACATTCTCATAAACTCTAATTCAGGATTTTAATGCTAAAAATGAAATCGAGTAGAGTATACCGAATCTCCTCTGTACCGAGATTATAAATTAATTTAAAAGACTGCTTTGGTTTTTATTGCCGATGTATTGCCCCCAAGAGTTAAAAAAAATAATATAAATAAGTAAGAGCAACGTATATTTAAAAAAAAAAATCACAACAGCCGAGGTTTTTTCCAATAGTGCACGTATTATCCGCCGGTCAAGTGACATGGCTCCCCCCTTAACATTCTCCTTAAAGCAATAAAATACATATGCATTTTGAGCCTTGTATTCAATTATCATTTTTCCAAAAGAATATTACTATCCAATCAATTATAATATTCAAATACTAAAATATATATCTTATATAACAAGGCGTACTTATATGTGAATACATATGTATATATGTATGTAAGAGCACAAACGTGTATAGGTATACTTGGATAAATATATTTATCCTTTTTGGAATCCTACAAAGATCTCATTTCCAATGCGCACTTTAAACAACACCGTTGACATTAACAGGTAGCCAAAGGAGATATGTGAGTACATATATCTTAAGAGATTTGCCAGTACACCTTTATTTAATGCAAGTATATAAGATAAGTGCTCTAAGGTTAATTATTTAACTAATATGAAATTTTCGATAGTAAAGGAAAAAAACGTTATGTTTTTACGTAAATACTCGAAATAGTCTTCATCAAATATTGTACCAAAGTTATTTATTTTGGAATAGCACTGAAACAATCAGGATACATCGACTGGCGGAAAAGCTTCGTCATAGGCATACATATGTGTACTACATCCCACCACCCCTCACACAAAAATTTTTCAACAAACACACATTTACTTATTTGTAAATGTACTTATGTTTATCCCCTTGAGAAGGAAAACAAATATTAAAACGCACCTTTAGCAATTTAGTAATGTGTAGTTTAATTGTTAGCTCTATTTGTTTGGATTTCACTTATCTACTGTAAATTATATTAAATCAACTAAACACACTTACTATCACCGAATACCAAATACTGGTTATGCATTGGACGATAGAAACACAAAACAGCAAAAAACCACTCCAATTGTAAACGACAAACGGCAACAGCTCAACAAAAAATATCGCGGCGAATTGAAAAGTTCAGTGTTGCTTTTAATTAAGCTCACAAAAACATTTTTTATTTCATTTTTCTTACTAAATTATTGCTAACAATTTTAAATAATATGTATATATATTCATTTTGAAATTCATATGTACTCTATGAATTTAAAACAATTTTTCTTTTGCCATGTATTTGAAATCACGAGTCATTATTAAATAAATTTTTGAAAAGACAACAACATTGTTCATCAACGTAATCTTAATTATCATGTTATCATTATGTATTTCATATTATCATTTCTTGTCTTGAGCTTAGTAAAACAGGTCAGCCACTTTGGATGAAGCTTTGCTGAAGAAAATTGCCAACATACTGCTTCATTAGCGTTGTGCACCTGTCTTAAGAAGCATACATACTTGTATAACCAAATAAGTATTGCATTAACTTTTCTTAATTAATTATGATAATAATTAATTATGATACAATATTTTAATTAGGTCGTGGTTCGTTGAGCTCTACAACTGTTTAAAAACGCAGTGTCATTTGCTAATATAAATATGACTGATCGGGAAAAATCTTCACTAGCCACGGTCATACATTTTCTACATATCATTTTGGATAGAATTTTGGAGTTCGCACTTGGTTGGCTTCTAGGCACTGCTCGTAATGTACCAATACCACCAAATAAAGAACAGGAAGAATTATTATCAACTAGCGCAGTGAAACTTGCTTGTTTAATCCGTGAACGAAAATTGCATTCCTATGAAGTAGTAAAAGCCTACTATGATCGGTTAATAACCGTAAATCGTGAATTAAATGCTGTAGTGGATGGTCCATTCTCCGAAGCTCTAGAAGAGGCGAGAGGAATTGATGAACGATTCAAAAGAGGAGAGATCACAGAAGAAGAACTTAATAGAAAACCATTTCTTGGTGTGCCATTTACCACCAAAGACAGCACTGAAGTAGCAGGAAAGTTGCATACGCTAGGATTAGTATCTCGTCGTAATGAACGGAGCCCCAACGATGCTGAATGTGTGCGGTTAATGAAGGAAAGTGGCGCTATTATAATAGCAACAACAAATGTTCCCGAAGTTAATAAATGGATAGAAACACGAAATATGCTGATTGGCCAAACTAAAAATCCATATGACTACAGACGTTCTGTTGGTGGTTCTTCAGGCGGGGAAGCAGCGTTAATTAGTGCATGTTGTACAGCATTTGGTTTGGGTACAGATATTGGTGGCAGTATACGAATTCCAGCCTTTAATTGTGGAATTTTTGGTCATAAGCCAACTAAAGGTGTCGTTAACATGCGAGGCTGCACATTTCGTAAGGGCGATGAAGAACATACTATGGTAGCCGCTGGACCAATGACGCGGTATGCTGAGGACTTAATTCCTATAATGAAAGTACTGATTGAGCCAAGCCAAACTAAAACTTTACGGTTGGAGGAATCAGTAAATCTAAAAAGTCTACGTTATTTCTACATACCATGCAATAATATGTTGCAATGCAATCCAATTGGTGAAGAAGAACAATCACTCATGCTTAAGATATGTAGCTATTTTACAAACTTATCAGGTACCGAGGTGAAATTAGCTACCTTACCATACTTAGAATCATCGAGCAAAATGTGGCGTTACTGGATGACGCAGGAGCCAGCAAATTTCAATAAACTTTTAGGTAATGGAGAGAACTTAAATCCCTTTTTCGAGCTATTTAAGAAATTACTAGGGCGTAGCGAGTTCACAATGGCTGCAATTTACTCACTGATTGACGCCTTACTTCCACCTGAAAGAGAACAAAAGATGCGAGAAGCAACAAAAAGGTGCAAGAATGCACTAAATGAGTTACTTGGCGACGATGGCGTATTATTCTTTCATAGTTCACCGCGTACTGCACCTTTCCATTACTATCCCTTAATAAAATTCGCCGATTTTAGTTATTTCAGTATATTCAATGTACTGCATGTGCCAGTTACTCAAGTTCCCATGGGATTGGATTCCAGAGGTATGCCTATGGGTATACAAGTTGTTGCCAACGAAATGAATGACAGATTGTGTTTAAATGTAGCCAAAGAATTAGAGCGCGCATTCGGCGGCTGGGTACGACCATATAAACATAACAACATGACTAAATAATTTAAATCATGCATATGTGCATAAATGCATACACACTATGTGCCTATGCCATCTGTACGGATATACATACATTTGTACGTACATATTTTCGAGATTAAATACTACGTAGCATTTAAGTTGAAGTAATAAAAGTCGATGGTGAATGTTTTTGAATTCAATAAACAAAAAAATGTAAAGAGGTTTTGGAATTAATAATATAAATAATATGTTTCTTTTAATTTTAATTTTAGTTACCATAAGTATGACCATAACGTACATACTTGTCGTTATATAGTGTGTGGGTAATACAAACACCAAAAGCATTAGTACAATTCATTGATGGAATTAGTACTGATTCGATCTGTAACTCTACGAATATGAAGTTGAAATTGAAGAATTGAATTGAAGACCAACTATTAGCAAAAAAAAAATTATTTACAAATACTATCTTACTATATGCTAAAATTTTTTAAACTAATTAATTTAACTAAAGAAAGTAATATTTATTGATATACAAATACAAATATTAGTACTTAGGTATTTTTAATATGAAAAATCCCGTGAATCTTGGTACAGTTTTAATGCACTTCCGTATTTGCGAATCATGATTTTAAACCGAGTATCTGGCGTCAACGTACCATAAATTTTGTTTATAGTCTAAAAATTAAAAATAAAAAGAAATATATTTATATTCTAGCAAATTTGGATAATTTCCCAAATGCCTCGAGCTCGATCACTGGATTGTTAAATAAAAGTCACCAAATTTGTTGAACAATTTCTTAGTTGTAAAGGGCTCGGTCAACGGTTTTCCTATTCTCGAGCTCTAACACTCCACTATTTTCACTTTGTCACCAACGCATTTACTTCGTAGCCGAATAACCCCTTTGTTTGCCGCTCTCTTGGATACCTCACTGAATCATCCTATAAATTTCTTATATGTTCTTACGACGTTCTCTCGAGGCAGCTCGAGCTCGTTGTCTGCAATGGGTGGTGGTATTTCTCCGAGTACGCTGTTCATTGGAAGGGAGTCCTTGAAGCTGTTGACTGACTCCTGGTGAATGGCGTTCAGTGCTTGGCGGTACGCCGTCCTGTCCAGCGGTTGTTGTGTGTGTTGCTGGATTGTGTCCTTTCAAGTCTAGTACTCCCTTTCTGATGTGTCTAGGTTGAGGTTCAGCCTCTATTAGGCGCCTACTGGGGTGCTCCCTGCGGTAACATCCCAATAGGAACTGCTTGCACAGCAAAGCATTATGCTCCTTAACTCGTAGCATAGAAGCTTCCCTGTGCAAGTGATGCTCCGGCGACATCAGGAGGTGGAATGTGTAAGACTTACTTCGCTTCGATTAAGAGGAGGTCTGGCACACCTCATAAAATTTTCTCCATTAGACAATAGCTCTGTCAAAATTGCGCTCTTTCGGTGCAAATTTAATTGACTTTTTTCTCACCGAACTTGGTTCAGTAAAATTTAGTAATAAAGGATTACTGCCCATCAGCTTACCGAACAGAGCTATATGATGACCATAAAAAAATTTTATATTCTGCATTTCGCTTAAAACACTTTTTATGTGTATTACTAATTCGAATAAAAAAAAAATTAGAAAAAAAAAGAAATTGAAATTTTTCGACTTCAAAATTCGTGAAAAAAATTAAATTGCAACGCTTGATGCCACCTTTACTTATTTTTACTTTGTTCTCTGATATGAGAGACCACCTTATCAGAGAACTTAGTTCTATCAGCTGATTCCTTTAACTATAATCGTGGTTTCACTATAAAACATATGGAAAGCGAGTAAATAACTGTTTGTTTTTACTAAATTAAGTAAAAGCAATATGTAAATAATGTTGCGGAGCAATAAAAATATTACATCGGAGATACTGAAGCAATTCAAATTAGGGGCGCAAAATGTGTTGGCACAATATAAGCTTTCTAGCAAGCCTGCCAAAAAATCACTACTCAAAAATTCTAAAGAGTTCGATGTGCCTTTGGAGGACCCAATAAACGCTTATTTTTTAAAAACTCAAATAGGTAAAACTATGCTGTTAATATAAACTAACATCCGTGACATATTTGTTCAACTTATATTATAATCTAAAGGTTCTACTTATCACAAATGGAATGCTGTCTTAGCAAAGAATCCAGAACTAAAATCTATTAAGAGGCAAGATGCAGTGAACACGGCAAATTCTTTAATGAAACTCAACTTCGATGCAGAAGACATAATATCGAAGCCACTTGTGTTGTATCAAAATGCGCTCACGGTGAAGAATCGTTATGAAGTACTTGATGAATGTGGTTTCAAACCTGTCACACTCTTAATAATATCAAAATATGTAACAGTTATAAACAAAAGTGTTTCAATGCTGAAATCATTTAGATATATTCCATTTGATACTAACGTATTAGAAAACTTATGCAATTGCCTCACTGACATTGATTTATCGGCCAAAGACTTTCAAACCATAAATGACGAAATGCTCCTTAAATACTTACGGGAATGCTTATTAAATGTTTACTTGCGGCAAACTTTAGATATGAACGATGATGATATTAAAAAGCTATGGAAAGTTTACGGCCGTGTTCGTCACAGGAGTTTCAAGTCAGTTCAGTCGGTATTGCAGATGCTGTTAAGAGAGCTGCAATTTCCAAAAGAGCGTATCATCAAAAATGCCTTCTTGCTCCACGGTGATGCTGAAAACATGCGAAGAATCATTGCTGAAATACCGACAATAGATGGTCAAGATATGAGAGATATCGTCTACCGTCGTCCAAAAATATTGATGTCATCTTGTGATGGGCTATTAAAAACACTTGAATACGTAAAAGCTTATGGTATAAATGAGTCAGCAGTAACAAGATGTTTGGAAGTATTAACCCTAGGATCCGATACTGTACTAGAACGGCTGAAAGACATGAACTCAATAGATGAATTTAAAGTTTTGGCGACTAATCCTCGAATATTACGCTTAGTACACTACCAAAATAAAGCACGCGTGCGGCTGGAGTACTTAAATCAACTTAAAGTCCGTTGTGCTTCACTGCATATATTATCTGGTGGATCCGAAAAATTTGCTAAGTATTTTCTTTATTTGATGTTAAAAATAATATGCTTTAAAATACTTATTATGTTTTTTTTTAAAGATTTGCACGTGAAGGCTCAGATCGTACAAAAGGCCGTGACGTCGTTGTCTATTTGGCAAATATTTTAAAAAAGGAAGAAAACGGAATACGTGCTTTACTTTCTCGCCATCCCAACTGGTGTCATATACCTGTTTTACAAGTTAAACAATGCTTTGATTTTTTACTATCGAAAAAATTTCCAATATCAGCAATTTCCGATAACATACATCTTCTTTTATATCCCATGTAAGGCCAAAAATTATATCTATGCATATTCTATTGAATTATATTATATAATTTCAACTATTTAATAGACAACGAATTGAGGAAAAGCTTGCCGAATTACACGAATCAGAATTTATCGAAGAGCTTCATCTACCGGTGAACAGTATTTACGATTTGGATAATAATGAACTGCTAACGCTCATCCTTTATTTAATTGAATGTGAATTCCATTTCACTGGAGACGGTATCTGGACAGAACAGCAAATACAACCTGTAGAGAATTTTAACAACTTGCTGCCCGATTTTCCAGAGAGTCTAAATAAAATTTACAAATATGGAATGAAACCCGGTGGGAGAACAAACGGTTCTACAACTGAGAGAACTGAAACAAGCACCACACACTAGTGACTAATAAATTCCGAATATTACGGTATTGGCATCTAGTAATGTTTGCAAAATTTTCCTTGGCGATATTTGAATGGATGTACATATTTTTGAAAGGGATTTTTTTCTGAAAATCTTTGTTTACATTCAAGTCTTTGTTGAAATTTATTAAAAAGTAATTAACGTTTATCAAGTTTATTATTTAATTTGCAAATGTATATAAATATTTTTATAAGGGAAATACATGTTTAAAACAAAGGGATTATTGGAAGATGTTTTAGATTATTATTAATATGCTCTATTTTGAGTCATCGTTCGATGCTGATTCAGTAGTTACTGCTTCATCTTCATGTTTAATAGTTATGGCCGAATGTTTGATAGAGCAGTTTTTAAGTTTTTCTAAAATTTCTTTATAAGCTGGAGATATGGGCTTTTGCACAACTTCCTTATATGTATATTCCGAGTCCTCATTGAGCTTAAAAAACATATATATATATAAATATTTTTTTTTTGAAATTACCGTTATTATATTTCATTGCAGTACTTACATTCAAACTATAAGACATGTCGGAATCAAACCCACGCAGATCACCACAAACAACGAAAGGTATAAGTTTTTGATTTACACTCGAATCCGTTGCATTCACTATCATTTGCACATCATCAATCATTGGATTTATCATTTGCGGAATATAACCATCTGGACATCGATAATTTTGGCAAACGACGAAAGCTTCAATGCTAGAATTTCTCGAACTTGCTGGTTTAGCTATGGAAACTTTTTCAAAAAATATACGTAGCTGCGAATACAGCAAATTCGTATCTTTGCCTCGGAAAATCTTGGCTACAAAGTTTCCTCCAGTCATCAATACGTGAGTAGTTATACTGAGTGCAGCCAACAACAGCTGGCTTTGTATATACTCGTCGATGTCGTGAAGACCAGTAACATCGGGTGCACCATCACAAATTACCAACTGTGCCTTTTGTGATTCTCCCCCAAAATGATCGATTATTGCCTGAGCTGTGCTCAATTTCGTTATGTCCCCTTGGAGCTGTGTTACACCAGGTAGAGGCGCCATGGCTTGCAAATCCACCGCAATAATTTTTACCTCTTCATTGTTGGTGCGATTCTCGTATAGTCGTTTCGATAACACCTGAGTCCAACTACCCGGTGCAGCACATAGGTCAACGGCACGAGTTACATCTTAATAATGAAAATAAGAAAAAAATTTTAACAAAAAGTCGAATTAACTAACCTTTTAAAATATGAAACTTCTCATCGATTTGCAACAATTTAAAAGCGCTTCTAGCGCGCCAGCCTTCTTCTTTCGCCAGCCTATAATATATGTCCCTTTTATCCTTAGAAGTCTTTCCCATTTTTCTATCCTTCTTTTAATTTCAGTATTTATTTTAAATTGAAATTATTTTTGCAGAATAAAAAGTCAATTACTGAATTCAATTGCAGTTCAATTAAAATTGAATTCGCCTTGATTTCGCCGTTTTGTTTTTGCATCCAGTAAACAAAACATTGCGAATGGAACAGAGTTATTAACGTCAAAATATTCTAATGTTGCAACTACCCATTTTACTTACCATCCGTCCGTGACAGGCGACATCAAGAGCTAGATACACACACAATTGTCGACGTGGCTGAAAACAGCGAAATTTTGCCAGCTTCCAGTTTGCTTGCACACTTCTAGACAAATATATAATTTTCGCCAACAAAATTCATAATTTATGTGTTCAAATATAAACAAAATCAAATATGCATGATCTATATGGTAACAAATAATTAGTTACGCATATAGTTTTCCTTTATTTTGAAAAAAACTACGCATTATCTTCGATTATTTAATATTACTTTGAGAAAGGCAATACCGGCATTGTATAGAAACGAGAAATGAGAAATCAAATCATCGTTGGTTTCTGCATGACAACCGTCACTAACGGCTTGGGCAAGTGGTGACAACTTTGTGTTTACATGGCGAAGAAAGGTTGCTATGGATGGAAGGTATGTGAGTTGGGTAGTTGCAGCATAAGTTCCTTAGCTGTCAAAATCTGTCAACACGTGTAGCTTGCCCGGTGTACAAGTGTTTCTATAATATTTTCCATTTATCCTAGAAATAAAAAAATAAATCATGTCTCTGATGAGAATAAGGTAAAATAAGAAATGATTATTGTATTTCTCATTTTAAAGTGTATTTTTCTTTTTAGAAAACCGAAAACCCGTAAGGGAAAGCAGATTTTGCTTGCCCGCGAGCCGCAGCTTATAGAATCCACACGAACTATGCTCTTTCTTGATGGGCGTAAATGTGGGGGAGACGTTAAGTCCTGTATGAGAGACTTACAACAGCTTCGCAAGCCGCTAGTTAAAGTGTTAAATCGTAACAACGATATTACACCTTTTGATGATCCGTCATCACTGGAATTGTGAGTATCAAATCTTTTCTATTTGACGTACTTTTTCTGCAACACTATACTAATCCAATTTCCTTTAGCTTGACAATGAAAAATGACTGCGCGTTGTTTGCGTTCGGATCAACGTCAAAAAAACGCCCGAACAATTTAATACTTGGTCGTATTTTTGAAAATGAAATATTGGATATGATTGAATTGGGTATAAAACAGTATACGTCCATGTCTGAGTTTAAAACTGAAAAAATTGGAACAAACGTGAAGCCGTGCCTTATTTTCAACGGTCCACGTTGGAATCAAACTGAAGAGCTACGTCGCCTTCGTAACTTGCTTATTGATACATTCCATAAAGATAAAGTGGACGCTATTCGACTTCAAGGAATCGAACATGTTATTAGTTTTACATGTACGGAAGATTTGAGTATACTTATGAGATCCTACAAAATAATGTTGAAAAAGTCAGGCCAAAAAACTCCTCGCATTGAGCTTGTAGAAATTGGTCCATCTGCAGATCTTTCAATTCGGCGGACGAAAATCGCATCCGAGGATTTATATAAACAGGCAAGAAAACAACCAAAACAATTGCAACCGAAAAAGAAGAAGAATCTTACATACGATGAACTTGGAAATACTCACGGTCGTGTACATTTGGGTAAACAAAATGTTACAAAGATACAAACGCGTCGGGTAAAGGGTTTGAAAAAAACTCCCGAAGAAAAGCGTGAGAGTAGACAGAAGAAAAAAGATCTTATAAAAGCAGCAGCACGAGAGCTATTAAAAAATACAGAATAGTGCACAATTTAAATATATACTAGAATTTATTTTTAATAAAATAGTTTTAATATTAAATTTAAACATTGTTTAATAATTATATCTACATACATATGTACTTATTTATTTAATGGATTGCACTAACTACATTACGAATTCGTCTACTTTTTGATTCGTAAAGTGCGGTTTCTAGTTCTTGTATCATATGTACCAAGGTATTTAAATCTGTTTGCACTAATAGATCCTTACGATTTCGTCTTTCATCAGGGTGAATCGACTGCTCCTCTGCAATTTCGAGAAGATCTCTGTTTTCGTTTTTAGGTTCAGTATGTAGATATAATTTCATTGTAACCCGTATGTTACTTTGTCTCAGAAGGCTTCTTGTTGCTAGGCGCACCTCTAAGCGCCATTCAATGTTCACCAGGCGATGTGCTCTTATGTTTGCAGACTTGATGGATCCCTCAATATAATGACGCTTGCTGTTTACAAATTGTTTGAGCACTTCCATAACGTCGTTATTATAACCTTCTTCTTGTTGCAACCGTTGCATATCCATCGCATTCGCATTTCCTTTAGTGGCGTCAATAAGTAAAGCAATTAGAGCTTCAACTGCATTTTGTATAACAGTAAGATTCGTAGAATATTTTTCGGCAAGATATTGGTAACGCTGAATGTTGGGGCCATGATTTAAGTACTCAAAAGCTGACTTGCATAGTTCTACAGCATCGTCAGAAGAACGTTGACATAATAATTCTAAATGCTTACGCTGTTCTTTCTTCAAATTTAATACCATTCTGCTTTCTTGGTTTATAACGAAATTCCGTAAAGAAACTTTTATTATTATTTCTAATGGTAAACATACACTGATGGAAAGACACACTTGCGATCAATTTATACTAAATCGCGTTTGGTGTGAGAGAGGGCAATTTTGACATTACGTTACTAGCTAATTCTTATTAATATTTCTCTCCGAGGAAACCTAATATTTTTACTATTAACAGTTCATTTAAGAATTCTTTTAACAGCTGATGAATTCGCTGCTTTAATACTGCTGACACTCCCGAACGTATACGTATATCGTGGCTGATTACCGTAGAGTGCACTAAATTGTGCGGCACTTATCACTTCATTGAAAATCCTCTCTACAACAAGGAATTTTGTCTTGTTGCCTTCCTAGATATTGAAGGTGATTTCAATAACATCTTACCAAGCCCAGTTACAGCTGCATTGCTAAGTTTAGATGTCGACATTCCATGAGTGAACTTTATCAATCAGTTGCTACTCAGCAGGTTTATAAGCGCGAACCTGTAAGGATATGAAGATTTGTAAATAGAAGCACTCCACAGGCTGGAGTTCTCTTTCCATTACTCTGGAATCTCATATTAAACTCGTTATTAACGCAAACAGAATGGGGTGGAGGCAAAGTAATTGCCTATGACGATTTCATCGCCATTGCATACATAGGAAGTTTCCACAAATCCTCGGTGACTTAATGCAAGGGACACTAAGAAAAGTCTCGTCCTGGACTACCTAATGTGGCCTCTGTGTCAACTTAAATAAAGTGGAACTCGTACTATTCACAAGAAGACATAAGATCCCCGCTATCAGCCCACCAGTACTGCACGGCATTCAACTCGGTCTGGGATCAAAAGCTAAATTTCTAGGAGTCATATTAGACAAGAAGATGGCCAAACAGAATAGACTGTCTCTCATATGAGTCCCTGGTCACTGTAATGCGGATGAATTTGCTAGACGGGGTACGACCAAGCAGATTCTTCCGATAAAGAACGCATTGGTATGCCTTTTGCTACATGCCAACTGCTTCTCAAGGAATTCATACATGAGCAAGCCACTACAAGATGGAATGACATCCCAACATGCCGCAAAGCACACATGGCCGAAATGGGATAAGAAGAGATCACGAGATATGTAATCCTTAAAAAGAGACGACATGTTCAAAGTTATAGGAGTTCTGACAGGCCACAGTCTGATAGGGCGCCACGCAGAAAGACTAGGGGCTCCCTACAGAAGATGCTGCAGAAGCTGCAAGGAGGATGAAGAGGAAGAAACCATCACCCATCACTTATTCGACTATGGTGCATTAAGCAGGGTGAGGTTTCGAAATTTTGGGACCCTACTGCTGGATGGTCTATCGAAGATAGCTGACATCAAAGTCATGGATCTAATGGGGTTCATTAGAGAATCAAAATGGATGGAGGATTAATCCTGATGGTTCAAGTTTCTGTGGTATCATAATGGGTCTAAGTCAGGCCTAATTAAATCCGCTCTGTTAGATCGGTAGCCACCGCAACCTTTCCTAACGTAACATATCAGTTTAGTTCCAAAATAGAAATTATCTGTTTTCTTTTCTTTTCTTTTCTTTTCTTTTCTTTTCATCCTTTAAATATACAGTGGCCGCGAAACGCTTATGTAATTTTGGTATCATTCGTTTGCAAGGGCCAGACCGTTCTTGAAGGGATGCATATTTTTCTGCCTCGAATATTCAGCTGTGTGTTTGCTGGAAGGAAATTCGCTTTGAATGTATGCCTGTTTCTTCTCAGCTGACAGTTTTGCTGCTGACAATTGAGAAAATTGTAAATTGAGAGAAGATTGTAAATATTTTAATGTTTACTAAGTAATTGAAAAATAATTATAGAACTGGTTCCATAAACAAATCATGGATTTCGACAGTCCAGATGTAGAGAAAGATTTTCCAGGTCTGTATGCTTCTGAAGGAGGAGATGGAAAATCGAAAAAAAGTAAAGAAGATAGCGATTGTAAGTTTTAACTTTTATATTTATGTACATATATAAAGTAAAGAAATGATTTATTGGTTAAAATATTTTCAGATAGTGAAGGCGATCATGACAAAGTGAGTAAGAAGGATTTGCTTATCGGTAGACGAAAAGATAAGAAAGACAAGGGTAAAGATCGTGGCTATGCTGCACTAGAGGGGGAGAGTTCTCCGGAGGAGGACTTAGATGCGAAGTAGGTTCGATTCAAATTATAGCACAGCTCTCTATATTCTAATATTTTTAATTTGTGAATTATTGGAAAAGGAGTCCATCAAAGTCAAAAAAGTCAAAAACATTTAAATTTACCTCGTCAAAAAGTAAGGAAAAGCGGGAGAAGTCACGTGATAAAGATAAGTCCGAGAAAGAATCGCGTGAGGACGAAAAGCCAAAGGAAAAGGAGAAAACTGAGAAGGAAAAAGACTTGAAGAAAAAAGATAAAGAACGCAAAGAAAAAGAAAAGAAAGATAAATCCAAAGACAAGGATAAGGATAAGGACAAAAAAGACAAAAAAGCTAAACAAATTAGTATCGCTTCAGAGGAAGTACTGGAATTGGGCGATGTCCAACCTGTTTTTGGCGTGTCCATCAGTCTAGCCATTGAACGAAGTCGTTGTCATGATGGTGTTGATTTACCGCTTGTTGTGCGTGATTGTATTGATTATCTTCAGGAGCATGCGTTAAAAAATGATCAAATATATAAAGTTGAACCCTTGAAAACACGAATTCAGCATTATAAGCGGCTATATAACAATAGAGAACGCCAACCAGATTCTGATGAATTAGATACTCCAACGGCATGTTCGTTATTAAAATTATTTTTACGGTAAAAATTGCACCACATTTCCTTTTATGTTGTTGGCATTATTTATTTTCATACTTTAACTTCAGTGAATTACCTGAACCGATTTTGACAACAGATCTGGTATCTCGTTTTGAGGAAGCCGCAGCAATCAACACTATAAATAAACAACAAGAAGAGTTAAAACAATTGCTTGAGTTACTACCTAGTTGCAACAGAACTCTTCTTACATGGATAATTCTGCACTTTGACTCAGTTGTACAGAATGGAAAACATAATAAACTAACCACAGAATCATTGGCCATGCTGTTAAGTCCGCCGATGCAAATGTCTCACCGATTACTAGTAGCACTTTTATCTCATTGTGGAATATTGTTTACAAATATTTCACTTATCAAGTAAGTAAACTAGATATGAACAGCATCTCGATAGCAATTTCAGTGATAAGATAATCTGCATACCCACAATAGAACATTTAGATTAACTTTTAGTCAAAAATAAAGATGGCAAGACACAACTCTTATCTGTTTTACAGACTAGTAAAAAAGCTAATAAAGTAGGGAATCTCATTTTTATGTATTTTCTCTAATTTTTTTTTGCCTTGCAGATATGTACCACCGATAACACCATCTAGTCCAAAACTCCCAGATAACCCGGATGATATACAAATAGAGCTACGAAAACAGGAAAGCTTACTAACTCAAATCCATGCAGAAATGAATGCTGGGTTTGTCTCGAAAAAGCGTGAAGAACAGCTGTGGGAAGTGCAACGCATTATTACACAGCTTAAGCGAAAATTACGTAGTTTTGAGAAACGCCAAGAGAAGTCTATTGAAGAATCACAAACATTAAATGCGTGTGCAATATCAAGTGTCAGCGACATTACAGATTCTAAGTTAACACTTCATCAGCCACAAAATAGAGCTGTTGAGAAAACTAATGGTTCCATAAATTTAACCACAAACATTCCTCTGGTGGCAGAAGATATCTCAAAGCAGTCCAATGCAGAATCGGAAAACAATTCGTTGTCCAAAGATAATAGAGTACATGTACAAACTCCAGTATTGCCAGAAGAACTCGAAAATAATACTCATACAGACCACTCGCCGCTCGCTGTTGACGGCTCACATCCGGATGGATTTTATATTGACGAAAAGTTATCATTTTTAATGGTGCCGAAGACGCATCCAGATTATACGCAACTATTGCGTTTGCAAATAGAAAATAAAGAATTGCTTGCATGGAAGGCACAACTACAAGCACGTATAACTTCAGAACGCGCAGAAGTGTTGCGATTGAAACAACAGCTTTCTGCAGTAGCGGCTAAAAGTAGTAATAATGCTTCGGCAGCAGGTGTAACTACGGAGGACGTTGCTGGTGGTGGCGTTGTCGATTATGAAAAGATAATAGAGCATTATATACGGGAAAATACCTTATTGGAACACAAAAAAGAAATACTTGCAAAAGAGTTATTCGAAGAGCGACGTGAATGTATTACAATGCAAGTGGAGCTCACACTGCAAAACTTCTAATTTATAACAAGTATTAATATATCATAGGAAAATGATTATAAGTATGTATTATAATGATATGTAGATGCAAATTATGCTTATATATATGATATTAAAACAAATGTTTAACAATTCTAAATATAAATTTAAGTCTGAAACAGAGCAAAACCAGTAAGATTATCAAAATCCACTTTTTGATTAGTTGTGCTCCATTTCCGAAAATTTCGCCTCATTACAATTAAAGAAAATCAATGAATTTTGTAAGACTTGATTTCTGTTACTATAAAACTAATAAGGAAATACTAGTAACGGTTATTAAGTTTTCAGGTGAAAAATTTATATTTCTCCTAGACTTTATTCAGACGCTCTGCCTAAAAGATACTCGGAATTAAAAGTTCCAAAAACTTTATTATTTGTATTTATCAAGTGCATTATTGAGATTATTGTAACTGCTTAGTTATAGACTTACTGTTAAAATATTAATAAATTTTCATGTTTCATCAGACGAATGTACAGATTTTAAATTGTTTTAAATATTATTCTCGTATCAAGTTCTAAAGAAAAAGTTCGATGTACAAATAGGAAGCCCAAAAATAAATTTTCAAAAACACTTAAAACTTATAGGAAGAGCTGTTGATTTGTATCAGTAATTTTCGTAGCGCATATAGAAAAAAATAATTCATAAAAAAACGTTGGAAATCAGATTAGGGTCAACTATTCTTATGAGTTTACTGCTTTCTTTACTTTTTGAAAACATTCAAATTCTTCCTGATTCTCCTATGAGAATAATTTTTTCCAACAACAATATTGAGTTATTTTAAAATGTGTATAAATATGAGAAATTTATTTTCCTTTTTATACATGTTTTTCTTTATTAACTCTATCTTTGGCAAAGATTTATTAAAAGAAAGGATAAAAAAACTCGTTGGAACTAATTTGCTATTTTATTAGCTTCAATTTGAATTTACTGCTGATTGTTTAAAATGTAAAAAAGCCTACCCTATAAATATCTTTCAATTGGAATTTAATTTATATTTTGTGGTATCTGGTTGAATTAAATAATCTGCATAAGATCTGTATCTTTACAAATATTAACTGGGTTTTAGGCAATCCAGCGTCAAATAGCTAATGAGTTCCCACTTTATTTTTATACCACCTTATATGAATTCGCCTGAATTGAAAACGTCAAAAGTTCATCGTTCATTGTTCTTGATTCAGAAAACATTCTCGACTTGACGTCACTGCAGCGATTGTCAAAATCATTTCTGCTCTCTGCTTTGGAGCCCAGAGCCATGTTGGCTACTACAATGTTGTTGTTGGGGAAAAGTCGACTGCGCTGCGATCGTAGTAGCGAATCTGCCATAGAAAGCAGACACAATTTTTGCCGACACGAGTGTTTGTGCATAATCAGCAGCCATTGAAACAGGAAGAGATTTGTCAGGAGGACCGATAAGTTTTATAAAAAAATATCAAAATGTTGAAGCAAGTAACCAAACAACTGGCCACCCAATCTGTGCGAGGTTTTTCTACCACAAAGCAGGTGGGATTAAGTAATTTATATTTAAGTATTAATTATAGTGCTGTGGGTCGCAGAAGTCAAGTTGAATTGTCAATTACTTGCAGTTTACGTAATCGGTTAGAATTCAAGTGAATATTTACGTGCGAAAAGTTCTAAAAACCATATTTTATAACTATCAGAATGTGCAAATGTCTCGATAACGGTGTTACAAATGAAGATTTCGTTTATTTTATTTTATTTAATTTTTTTTTTTAGAACAACTTCAAGGTCACCGTATGCGGCGCCTCAGGCGGTATTGGACAGCCACTTTCGCTGTTGTTGAAGAACAATCCATTGGTTTCGAATTTGGCGTTGTATGATATTGTACACACTCCTGGTGTGGCTGCCGATTTATCGCACATTGACACCCAAAGCACCACTGAAGGTCATATGGGTCCAGAGCAGTTGGGCAAGGCTCTTAAAAGTAAGCATATTATTCACTACACATTATTATCAATATAAGTATATATATACTATTGTATGATATGGCTTAAGCACCTTTCTAATATTATTTTTTTTTTAATTATATTTCATTACAAATGTACATATGAATATTTATATATGTATATGTATGTACAATTTGTGCTATTGCAACTTAATCATGTGGTTTTAACATGATAAGTATCAAAAAATATGGTTAATTGAATAAATTACGGAAATCTTATCATTACCAAGAAGTGCGGTACGAAATTATGCAATTGTATAAATATGGCAAATAATTTACGTTCTTGTAAATATATTATAGTTAAAATGTTATCTTTGTTATTAGAAATAGGAATGTAGTTTCAGTTATTATACATATATATGTACATTATGTGCATATATATAAATATTTAAATTTTTTGTTGTCAACATAAGTTTAAAAAATATAACGAAGGTTACATAATTCATTCCAATTTTGTAATTTTTTTTCAAGATGCTGATGTTGTTGTTATACCTGCTGGTGTACCACGTAAACCCGGCATGACCCGTGATGATCTGTTCAATGTGAATGCAGGAATTATTCGTGATATTGCTAATGAAATTTCGAAGAGTTGCCCAAAGGCACTGGTTGCCATTATCACCAACCCCGTTAATACCTGTGTTCCAATCGCCGCAGAAATTCTGAAAAAGGTGATTTTATATCAATAATTATATACATAAATATAGAAATTCAGTTCATTTTAAATTTATTTATATTTACTACAATAGTTTACTAAGAAAGTGGTATAACTTCAAAAATACGATATTGGCGTTAACTATGCAAAAATGGAAAAAAATCCAAAGTAGTTATAGTTTTTGTGTTAAAAATAGTGTCTTATGTATTACCAAACAAACTAAAGTTCTTCCATAAGGGCTTAAAAATGTGCAATGAACAGCCATTTGTGATAACAAACTGTTCCAAAGTTTTACATATATTTAAGACTCATCGGTATCAGCACTGTTATACACCTAGTTACTTGTTTATCTGTTTTTGCATTGAATTCAATTATATTTTCATACATACATATTCTTAAAGAAGAGCAAAAAAATTCAGTTCTAAAACTAGAAACTCCAGCTCTAATTGTAATAATTGCACTTCAAAAATGAAAATATAATTTGTAATACCATTTTTTCATCCTGCATAATATTAACTACTTAAATTCTTAAAGCTTTTAACTAGCAAGAATATTCGTATCTACAATCAAATAATATAAAAAAAAAAGGATTAAATGTTGTTGTTGTTGTTGTAACTGCAAAATATTCCCCGAATCGGCTTCCAGGTCGTTCCGGTTTAAAGAACTGGCTGTCGCTGCAACTATTGGATTTTATACATCTTTTACGACAAGCATGGTCCTTAACCCGCTGAGTTTTAGTAAAAGTTTACTCATTTTAACTACTTTAAAATGCATTATCGGAATAAGACTGGCCAAAAAACGAGGTGATATTTATGATCACGCTTTGTAATAGGTCTAAAAACTAAAAACTACAAAAAATAGAGAAATCTTTCTTTTTTAGGTTATGACACTATTGAAGTAAACAGATTATGTACTTTGCCAATATTTTCCATTGTATTTATCTAACAATTTTCTATATTTTTAGGCTGGAGTCTACGATCCTAAGCGATTGTTTGGTGTCTCTACATTGGATGTAGTTCGCGCACGTGCTTTCATTGGTGCTGCATTGGGTGTTAATCCCCAGCAGGTTGATATTCCAGTTATTGGTGGACATTCCGGCGTTACTATTTTGCCCATCATCTCCCAATGCCAACCTGCATTCAAGGGCGATCAAGCCACCATTGAAAAATTGACAGTACGCATTCAGGAAGCTGGTACCGAAGTAGTAAAAGCCAAGGCTGGTGCTGGATCAGCAACTCTTTCCATGGCATATGCTGGTGCTCGCTTCGCTGGTTCATTACTGAAGGGCTTAAACGGTGAGAATGGAGTTGTAGAATGCTCTTACGTACAATCTGACATCACCGAAGCGTCATTCTTCTCTACTCCTTTGATTTTGGGCAAAAATGGTCTGCAAGAGAATTTGGGTCTGCCCAAATTGAATGATTTCGAGAAAAAACTGTTAGCCGCTGCACTGCCTGAGCTGAAGAAAAATATCCAAAAGGGTATTGAGTTCGCTAATGCTTAAGCGGAATCACTGTCAAGATCGTAGCTTTTAAATATGTATATGGATACCCTCCACAATAAATATCTAAAGGCATACACCTATTTGGGGTTTCAATGTACTATGTATATTTTTATTTCACAACCATCATTTAAGTTGAAATTAATATCGAAATCAATAGTGAATCATTTGGAAGAACGTATATAGGAGATACAATAAATAATATTTTGTAATTTTTGTGGTTCTCCGCACGTTCGAAAATAAATGTATAGCTCTTAAGCAGTAAAGCAAAAAATAGTAAATTGTTTTAAACAGTAGCGAATCCCAATAAAGAAAAGAAAATAAATAAATAATAAAGTAAATAATCTTAATAGAACAAAAAAGTCAAGTCAATAAGAGAAAACATTGGCGGAAAATAAATTTAAATTATAAACACCAAAATTTTGTTTGACCTACTTCCTTCAATGACTGAAATACGAGTCGGTTTGTTGGATAACAAAAGTATATTTGATAAAATCTGTAGTTTACTGCTAAATATTATCCATAGCTTACGCGATTATAACCGGGTTAACAAAAGCTTGGCTGTTTGGCGCCAAGTGCTATTGGTCTTTCTAACAGAGTGGAGATACTCTTCCTCTGTTTCCAATTGGGTACTGTATCGAAAATTCAAAGTTGTAGTATTGATAATCCATCCAGGCCAAACGATCTAGTCATCGTAGCCGCGGTCTCTTGATTCGCTGAACTATGCCGATGTCGCCGTATGTCTCGTACAGATCATTAATCTATCGACTGCGATATTCGCCGTTCTCAACTTGTAGAGGACCAAAAATCCTACTCAAAATCTTTGTCTGAAAAACTGCCTACGCAAACTTATCAGATGTTGTCATCGTCCATGCCTCAGCAGCGTTCACGGGAATAATGACCGACTTGTTCTATGTTCGTCGCGACAGGACCTTACTTTTCGATTGCCTATTCAGTCCAAAGTAACATTTGTTAGTAAGAGTGATATTTCGTCTTGAAAACTAGGGGACCATACAGTTGTTGTTCCAATCGTGGAGTATGTTTTTATCGATCCATATTTTGCAGAAAAGCCGTATTTGTATTATCCATCTCCTCTATACATTCAATATACTCTGGGCATAAGTAGCAAGATAACCTCTCTGGATCCTTCAAGATTTTGGCGAGCTTCACAAGCTCTTCACACACATGCATCTCTCGCACGCGTAGTGGTTGATCAGTTGCCTTATTTATCCTTCCGTTGTTACACAAGCCTTTTCTATATCTTTTACCTCCGCTTGGAAGATACCAGCTGAATTTGGTAGACGAAATACATTTTAATAGTACCATTATTTCTTTTTCTGGAAAATGTGTTTTGGGTGTTTTGCCTGGGCTTAAAATAAAGAAAACCTGAAAAAAATAAAGAAAACCTGGTTTACACAGGAGTTATGTTGTTTTAAAAATAGAAGGTCAAAAGCTTTGAAGACATTCAGGAAAAGTGGCCTTTATACGACTTTGGTCAGGCCAATATTAGAACATGGTTCACTGATATGGAAACCCAATTATCAAGTTCTTTCCGATAAGTTGTAGTCTGTTCATAAACAATTTTTACTTTTTGCATTAAGATATTTCGAATGGAACTCTACGATAAATCTTCCTTCCTATACCAACCGTTTAAAGCTTCTTAATCTACCTACTCTCAGTTCACGGCTCTTATCTGAGGTAAACTTTAAAGTTCCAACTCGTGCATCTAGACAGTTTAGGCCTTTACTATTAAAGTCATGTAAAACAAATTATGAATTGAACGAAACCTTTCGCCGATTGTATCACAATTTTAATTTTCATTCCAGCACATTCATTTTTTTCTGCAGCTGAACAGAGTTAAATCTTGACGCTTAGAAAACGCTTCCCAATCATGACTCGGCATATTCCGTACGTTACGCGAATGTCGCCTGTGGTGTCTAAAGCGTATCCTCATCTTAAAGCAGATTCTTGGGAGCATACAGTATAACAGGTGTTATGAGTTGATTTAGTATACCACTATGTCTTAATCACATTTGGTTCCAACAGTCCCATTCAATAATTCTGATTTGAAAATCTCCAATCACTATAGGCAGTGGAAAGGGGTTTTTACACATCAGCAATGGGAAATGTGGCGCAGCATTGTAATCTCCGTATAGCTGCAAGCAAAACTATTGGTTTTCGGAAAGTTTAGAAGAACAGCTGGTACGATGAGGATCGCTGTACCGTAATGAAGAGAAAACTAGCTGTCTTCCTCGCAATGTTGCAATTGACCACTACATGTGCGGAATAGATATCAAAAATTAAAAGGAGAAAGACGCCGATATGAGTGAGTATGAAGAGCTTGAGAAGCTGGCCGACAAGGGTAATGCTTGAAAATTCTACGAGAAGATTTGACGATTTACAGAAGATTTCAAGATCGAAGCAGACTCCTGTCGGACACAAAGACGCCTAGAGTATTCTGAAATTATATAGGGAACACTACTCCAATTTGCTCGATGGCACTGAAAGGGCAACACTAAGAGTTGGTGAGTCCGATGACGATAGAACAGATGCTTTATTGCCCTACTTTGATAAAGGTCGAATATCAATTATCCGTTTGAAAAAGAACAAAGTGGTGTGAGTCGATGGATTGCCGGCCATGCTATTCAAATACGATACGGAGGAGCTGATAACGTTTATGCATCAGCTTCTTTGCAAAATATGGTTGCATGAAAGCATGACCGACGATTAAAACCTAAGCGCGCTCTGCCCAATCTCCAATTAATTGAATTGTGTCCTATGAGTGTGGCTATAGACCTAAAAAATCGATCATTGACCAGATATTCATCAGGTTTCAGATCTTGGAAAATACAAGTGAAAAGAGGAACAATACGGCACATCTTTGCCGATTTTAAAACAGTCTTCGATGCCGCCATGTCTGAATTTGGTGTAAACTGACGTTAGGCAACACTAAAAGCTCAGTCAGGAATGGGGAAGGACGTCTCCGAACCGTTCCACAGCGAACGAGGTTTCAGACAAATTGAAAATTTTCGATACAGTAACCGCCGATGGAAGCAGAGGAAGAGGAAGACCTCCACTCCGTTAGAAAGACCAGGTAGAGAAGGACCTGGCTCTACTTGGTATTTCCAATTGACGCCAAACAGCAAAAAGAAGAAACGAACGGCGCAATGTTGTAAATCTGCTATAATCGCGTAAGCGGTGTCTACGCCAGTAAAGTAAGTAAGTAAGTAATTGAACTCTGGGAGATAATACGTGTGACAAAAAAAAGTAATAATATCGAAAATCATGGGTCTTACTGCTAATGAAGGTACCTACAGCTTATATTAAGTCCACTACGCACGGCTGTTGGGTTTTAAAGAGGAGCATTTGCTAATGCGGACATTGCTGCTTCCATTCGTTTCTTCTTTTCGATTTTTAGCGCTAATTGGAAATACCAAGCGAAACCACCTATGCTTCCAATGGTATGGCTGTTAGCTGATTTTGTAGCGTAGTTCAAAGTCCATTATATGAAATGTACTCTAGGCGTGATTATTGTCCGAATGAAGTCAAAAGAAATATATTTTCTGCAGATAGGCATTTCTCCTTGTGATTCAAAAATCACATTTGATTTATACCCTGCAGAAAATTGTGAACCATCAGGTCCATTCGAGTACCTATTGTAGTACTCCTCTGTAATCCGGCTTTGTATCAACTTACGTATCTTATTTTTGGCTTGCAATCCCCACACGGAGTTGGAAGAGTCTAATAAGGTTTATACGAATTATATGTACATAGTTAAAATTTATAATACTGAAATTGCGGCGTTAGTGGCGTTTCGTTGATGAACTCTGTTCTGTGATTTTTTCAGACATTGAATATTATGGCCAAAATCTAAGATTTATTGTAGAGATAAAGGCTTTAAAAATTATATCGGCCAAGTGACTGCCGTGGCTGGTTCGAATATATTCCTGCAGAGATTCCCAATTTCCATCACTTTTCGTAGTAATTACGGCCGTATGCTAGCAATGTCGCGCAAAATATTCTCTTCGAAGGCGCCGATCATCTTTGGCTGGTAGAAAACCGACTTCGTACTATCTTGGAGGTCACACTACAGACCAAAGACGTCAGATATTGCGCTCACCAAGAGATTCCTTCAATAAATTGATTGTTTTATTCGCTGTGTGGCAAGTAGCACGGTCTTCTTGAAGCCCAAGGTCGTCCATATCAACATCCTCTAATTGAGGCCCGTTTTGGGCCCATTCACCGAATGTGCAATGCGGGTTTTCGTTGATGGGCTTCAATTTTTGCACGAGTTGGTTTTTGTAAGTCCTCAAACCAAAATCCGTCCGAAAAAGGTTTTATAAAGTGTATGGCAATGGATGGAGTTGATTCCAATTGTTGCGCCCACGATGGCGGATGGACTAATTTTGGTCTTCTTCGAGGCTCTGCGCTCCGCCGTCACTGAATATGGGCATTAACCACGAGCGTAAACGTGGTGCACAACCGACCTATCGTCTTTCGAAATTACCGACTCTGCTACCATTTATTACCTTTATTTTGGTATCAACAAACGTTGTTCCAGAGCAAGTCTGTTCATTAAGCATTGGCAAGCCAGAGTACATGTACATATTGTATATGCATCAAGTAACAGCAGTTAAAAATACCAACTGCCAAAACCGTACTACCTCATTGAAAAACACACATCTAAAAACATTCAGTTCCAGGGATATAAATTTGATGGTAAGTTTTATGTTGCTACCAAAGCGGATTGCCTACGATGCTCCATGGAGGCATTTTTTTTTTAATATGTAGGTATAGGTGGTGGCCGAGGTACCCGGTGGTTAGCATTGCGCACTGCCTTTCGGAGGGCCTGGGTTCAAATTCTGGTACGAACAATATCCAAAACTTATAAAACATTAATTAAAATAAGAAATCATGTTAAAATTTCTAATTGCGGTCGCCCCTCGGCAGTGAACATCAACCCCATTCGAATGAATTTCTGACATGAAATAAAAAACCATCAGCTGTTTGGATGGAAGGTGGAGGTCACTACATTTTTTGGAAAAAAAGACGTAAAACCAAAAACTGGATGAGGAGCAGGGCTGGAAATCGCTAAAGCAG